TCTGTTAAACCATTCTGTTCATGGATATGTGGACAAGAAATTTAGAGAAAAATACCATAGTGATTAAGAAAATTTATAAGATCACTTTTAACAAGCTTATTAGCTCCATTGCACTGAAAAAATTTGTTCTTGTTATCAAATTGATTTTCAGCTATAATATTAAAATTCTCAAAATAAGTAACACTATCAGAATGATGCTTTAATAGATAAAACCAAGTATAACGATTGAAATCATCCATAAAAATAATATAATAATGAAAATCAGTAATAGTAGTAGTGGGCGATGGCGCCTAAAAATCACAATGAATTAATTCAAGAACATTATAAGTTATTTTAGTAGATAAACCAAAAGGCAAACGTTTAATTTTTTTTGTTTAACAAGCTGCACAAGTTAAGTTACAAAAACAAGAATCCTTAGGACAGATAAACTTATTAAATTTTAACTGTGCTATAATCTTGCTAGTTGGATATCCAAGTTGTCGATGCCAAATTATTCTAGAAATTAAAGAAGAACTACCACTGAACTAAGTTTGTTGGTGGCATTATCTCAGACCAATAAATTGCTCTACATGTCTTGTAGGAATCACATAAAGGTTACCTTTAATTGGTTCATCCAAAGTACCTTTCTCGTGTGAAGATCCTTAATAACAAAATCCAAAGGAAAATAATAAAAACCACAATTATTATCTCTGATTAGCTTAGCAATGACAATAAATTTTCTTTTAATGCTGACACAAATAAAATATTTTTTAATGCTAATTTTGTATAACCAATACATATAGTAGAATCACTAATACGAGTGATGTTTAAAGAATTGCCATTGCCAATAAAAACACCTTCATTGCCAACATAAAGAGTGGACTGATGTACTAACGATGGATTGAAAGTCATGTGATTGGTAGCACTTGAATCTGTGTCATTATTCATTAAAGCATTAGGAAGAGTATCATTTAAAGTAACAGTAAAAGGTGAAGACTAACAAAAGAATTGCTCTGACTATGATTAGATTTATTATAATGGTATTGACATGTTATAGCAGTATGGTTGAATTGGTGACAAATCTGACACTTTATGACACGGTTTATATGTTAGAATGTGGAAAGTTCCTATTATTTGAATTATTTGATTGAAAGTCTCGTTAAGGTATATGATTTATGTGAGGAAAAGATCGAGAATCATGATGATCATATTTTTGATTAATCTGTCCAATGTGCCTAAAATCATAACTAGGATTACTGAAGCGTTGACCTTAACTGTTTGGGTGAGTTTTCATGACTGTCTCATAGGAACTAATAATGGCATTCATAGGTTGTGATAACAATACCCACATTCTTTTTAAGCGTTGCTCATGAACTAATAACCATGCTCTCAAATCATGAAAGAAAATGATATTTTCTTTATTTTCAATGGCAAAGACAACTGATTGATATTCAATGGTATTTGATAGTCCATTCAAAGTACAAGTAACTGATTCTAAATTAGAAATAGGATGATTTATGGCTACTAAATTATCATAAATAGATTTGATCTTGACAAGATATTCTTCAACAAACATAGTTCTTTTACTTAAGCTTTGTAACTCATCACGTAACAGATCTAACTTTGCTTGATATTGTTGATGAAAATAGTTTCTAAAGTTATCCAAACCTAGTGAGAAGATGACAAACCTAAGACCTGTACTTGTGCACTTTGTGACAATGTTGCCTTTAGAAAAGAGAGAACAAATTGATCTTTCTTCACCCACTTTGTATATGCAGGATTAGATATGATTTCATTATCTTAGGTTATTATTTTATGAGGAGGAGCAATTGTGCCATCAACATGCCTCATTAAATCACTACATAATAAAAAATGTGTTATTTGATCACCCCAAAGCAAATAATTTTTTGAGTTCAACTTAATGAAGATAAGGCTAAAAATATTAGGGAAAAAAAAAGATGGTATGAAAGAGAATTGGTTGTTAGAAGCCATTAGAAGGTTTAAGAAATAATATATTATAAAGAAAGTTAGTGGAGTATAGTAATAAAAAGTAATTATTTTTGGATCTGAGAAAAAGATAAATATTTATATCAGAATTGAAGATGAAGAAAGAGAGAAGGCCACTGATCTAATTCCATGAAACGAATATGTAAAAACCAAATGTTATGCCCTATCCCATTTAGGGTTATGACATGTATATTTATTTAATAAAAGAGTATAAACATATTTACATATAATTAAAAGTACAACTATTAACAATATATTCTAATAATTAGGATATACCCACTTTTCCTAAATGTCAAGATGGATTGTCTTTTTGTTATTTATGGTTCAACAAGAACAAGATGGTGACAGTGTTGGGGAAATTTTATCTTCTTTATCCATTTGTAAATTGTAGAAGAAGAATGAAGTGTACAATTGAATGGCAAGAATAACTGATGAACAATCCTAAGTTCTAACAATGACATTTTCATGAGTACTGTGATCGTCTGCATTTATTAATTTTATGGTTTAAGAGTCCTTCAACTCTTTATTAATCATGAGTAATTGATCAAGTTTTAAGAATTTGACAGCTTTAATTAGTAAAGACTAGAAGATTGGAAACCATTAGGCCTAAACTGACCAAATAGTAGATAAGAGGATTCGAGGTCTTACTAAATCATATAGATTATGAGAGTAACAAGTGCCAATTAGCCATTGGAAACTCTGACAAATGCATGGATGAACGTTTATTATGGCATGTGATTGCTGATTTTTTTCACATTCTCCATAAGAGTGGATCTGCATTAAAAATGAAAATTAAAAAAAAATACAAGCAGTTAATATGTACCAGAATGAGACCTCTCTCGGTTGGGTTATCTTTATGCTATTGCCATTATATAATGGTAATCAGAAATACGAAACTATATTAAAAATTATGACATATAGGCATATGCATACACATTATAAAAATTCATCCAAGTTGTTGAATTCAAACCAGCTACCTACGGATTACTCCGAGTGATCCCACTACAGTCCTTCTGTCACGTGTCGAGGCTTAAGCTCTGAACCCGCGTGGCTTCGGGATCTGAGCATCCATTTATCCGACGTTTCAGATCAGTCTAACCATCACGGTTCATACCCTTGTGAGGTATTGTTCGTTCTAGTCCCTTTAACCTTACGGTTTTGTCCTACAAAAAGGACCTCACAAGGTTGAAGTGGTGTAAACCCTTTTATACCCCAGTGACCTCTTATTATATTCGATGTGGGATTCGTGACTCTTCCTTAGATCCGTGACATTCTCCCCCACCTAACCTAAGGCCGTGATATTCTCCTCCAGTTAACCTCGTGACGTCCTTATCATGGAGGTTGGCCACCCTGCCTACCTCCTTCGAGGTACTTGGCGTGGATCGAACTGTTTAAAGCTGGCTCTGATACCACTTGTCACGGGTAAGCTCCGAACCCGCGTCGCTTCAGGACCTGAGTATCCACTCATCCGATATCCCAGATCAGTCTAATCGCCACGATTTATACTCTTGTGAGGTATTATACGCTTTGGTCTACTTGATCTCATGATTTTGTCTTACAAAAAGTATCTCACAAAATTAAAGTAGTGTGAATCTTTTTATACTCCAATGATCTGTTTATTATGTTTGATGTGAGATTCAAGACTCTTTTTTAAATTTGTTACATTTTAATTTGAGTTAAATAATACGGGGACTATTACTCCGGCCTACGAAAATTGAGCCAAGGTTGGATTGTTGACTGTTAATGGATGGCTTTGTAAATCGTTTTAAGTATAGAATATCTCAAATTTAACTAATATGGTGAAATGTCATGTAAAAGCCAAAGCAGTGGACCCAGTGAATTTGATGTAGTGGTATTGCAATGCTGTAACAATAATGAAACAATAATTCAATTACTCGCTTTGAGTAGTATACGGACTGTTCCTGAGGAAATTATATATGAACCTGAAAAGAAGATAAGTTCACTGTTGAATTTTCATGGCGGTTGGGGCAATGAAGAATTAGCAGAGGCTGTAATGTGGCGTACAAGAATAGTGCAATGATGGGATAAATGTGGTGGCCTTTGGTTTTGCAGAATCATGGAGGCTTGCTTTTACCGCAATTACCAATACAGGATTTTGGGAGAAGGGAATAATGACAGCGTTGTAGGTTATCATCATAAGGAAGATTGTTAATGATGTGACTATACGAGAATTTGATCGAGACAAGCTATCTGGTGATAATGGACGATAGGTTTGGAGCTTTCTTTGACAAATGGAAATACGAAATTCCGTTCGCTATCATACTAGGAATGCTGGCTTGGCCATTGCTTTTGATGGGACGGATGCTAGCTAGTTTCAGTGACAGAACGAGTACACTGAACAGTACAAAGATTATTAAAGCTGCAGCTCATGTCATTGCTACAGACAAATAACGGATTCGAGGGAAAATCTATAACGACGGAGGGCAGAGATCCAACCGATTAATACTACCTCAATCTTGTAGTTCAATTTTATGCAATCAAGAATCAAGAGTTCCTTTTGTTCTCTTAAAAGAAAAATTGATTGAAAATAGTAGTAGCCATGTCCAAATGGTGCTAAAAATTGAAAACCAGTAAGAAAAGTCTGTTACTTCACTGTTTGTCGAGTATGCTTTATATGTAAATGGTAGTTCCAGAGCGTCGACAGGATCATGAAATAAAATAAGATTATTTTTGGTAGATATAATTAGGTAGATTTCCCATACCATAAATAATAGTGGATCCAACGCTGTATTTACTCATCCTAGGTATCAGTAAAAGTCTAAAACATATATTTTCTGTGAAGAAGTTGATGCAGACAAAATTCTAAAGAATGAACTGTTAAGCTCACCCAGAATGCAAGCACGATCTAAGCTAAGCTGCTTTAGTGCTTGGGCCTATAACGGTGAACCAGAGGAAAAAGAAAATAAAGGGAATAAAAACTACATAGGAGTTTAGTGCACCAGCCGGGAATCGAACCCGGGTCTGTACCGTGGCAGGGTACTATTCTACCACTAGACCACTAGTGCTTGTTTCTATGAGTGAGATTCTTTAAATCTTTATCAGATACAGTCACTGGAGACTTTTAAAGTTATTAGTGTTCCTGGGAAGGGAAGTTCTGGAATCAGGGGCAAGCATTTCGTTCACAGCTGGTTTATAAAAGAGCAGAATCATTTTAGAGCATAATTTCTTTGCAAATGATACCAAGGTGGTGGTGGCAGTTGGATAAGGACAATTTGACTTCAATGATTATGAGTTTTAACTGCAAAAGCACTGCCTCTCCAAAATTCCTTAGTCCATAAGGAGCTAATGAGGATCTTCCTGAGCCAACCGGTTTAGTATCCTGGCATGGTAGATTTTACAAAGATAAACAACATACAAGAAGCAATTTCATGGCAGAAATCTTAATCTTAAATTCATCCTTTAATCATCACGATGTGGGTTTAAAGTTAAAATCTAACATACATATGTACACAGACATGCCTAGCTTTTATAATTTTAACAGAAAAGAAAAAACAAAAATCTCTTCTATTACACCCAACCTCAACTGACATTAAAGAATGCAAAAAATAATAGTATAATGGCGCAAAAACAACAAAGAAAAGCCCCTCCCCGTCTAATGGTTGAAGTTCTTTCATCTTGTAGTCCTTCCAAAGCATGCTTCATTATTGTCCAAATCTGCTATCCAAGGTGCATCAAAATAAATGGAAACATAAGTGGATCTCATTTTAGAAATGATGCAGGATTATCTACCTTCCACTATGGTGTTGGTCCAAGAGAGAGACATGGAAGAGGAATTTCGAATATCATGGAATGTAGGGTGAGATGCATAACCAAAATTCTGAGAGTAATTAACCCACATATCCCTAGACTTCAGCTTTTGCAGCAAACATGCTTCCATATCCTCAGTTTCTGATTCAAAAGGCTCGTTCTTCCCCTCCAAGACTTTGACTACTTGCCTCATGGTTGGCCTGGAATCAGGATTAGGATATGAGCACAACAAGCCTAAATGCAGCACCTTCTCCACCTCTACCCCGTCAAATCCTCCATTGGCCTTTAACCGTGCATCTACAGCAGCAAGTAATTCCCCTTGCATCATCAACTGCCACACCCATTCCACCAAAGGTGGCTTCCCTTCCTCGATAGGCCTCCTCCCACACATGACCTCCAAAATTAAGACCCCAAAACCGAATACATCAGTTCCTGTTGATGCTCGTCCACTCCTAACCTCCTCGGGGGCCAAGTAACCCACAGTTCCAACCACACGCGTTGTGCTAGCCACTTGGCCGTGCCCATGCATCCGGGCTAATCCGAAATCCCCTAACCTTCCATTCATATCCTTATCAAGCAATACATTGCTGGCCTTTATATCCCTGTGTAGGACCTTAGCTTCCCATCCCTCATGTAAATATAACAATGCTGAGGCTACATCCTTCAAGATTCTAATTCTATCCTCACAACTCAACATCTTGCTTTCATCACAGTCATAATAAACCCTCTTGTCCAAACTTCCATTTTCCATATAATCATAGATCAACATGAATATCCCCTTTTCTTTCTTGCACCAACCTTTCAGACCCACCAAACTCTTGTGCTTTAGCCGACCAAGACTTGAAATCTCTGCCAAGAATGTTCTCATTCCATCATTTTCATGCGAAATGCGCTTTACAGCAATCTCTGTCCCTCCAGGTAAAACACCCTTATATACCTTTCCATTTCCTCCAACTCCAATCACTTTTTCCTCCAAAAATTCCTCGGTAGCTGCATCAATTTCTTGATAAGTCATCCTATGTGGCCAATACTCAAACTCCCAGTCTTCCATTTCCGCTCTCTCTCTTGCTCTCCTTCTGTCCCTCTTGATCAAAAACAGAGAAAACAGAGCAATAAAAACAAGAATAAAGAAACTTCCCACTGTTACTCCTGCAATAAACGATCTATGCTTATAAAATGGAGTCTTCGGAATAGCAAACGACGGTAAGCCGGTGGTAATCAAACTTTCACTTAATGAAAAATTTGTGTTACTAAAACTCCAAGACAAAACCCTATGACTTTGAACCAATCTTCCCGTTGACGAAGTGAATCCAACATACATTTCATCCTCAAAAACATCAGATAAATTCAAAGAAACATTCAACAACGGACGTTTAGGCCTTTTTATTCCTACCGGAGCCATAGTAACAATAATAACAGAATCTACATAGTCAATCCAAACTTGATAGTTCTTACCATTATTCAGCTTCATTTTCTCAAGAGCCTTCTCATCATCAGCACTATTGTTGCTGTTGCCACTGCTCTTTATGTTGTCAGGCCAATAGCCTGCTGTGTGGGAGCTTGTCGACTTGAGGGAGTTAATGTCAATTCCTACATGGTTGTCATCTATGTCATCGAATTCTTGGTTCGCAAAAACATCGAATTCGACGCCAAAGACATGATTGCTGGAATTGCCGTTGTTGGTGAGGTTGAAAAGGCCTAGATGTTGAGACGAACTTGTTCCATTGATGCCAGTACTCGGTGTAAAGATGAAAACCAGGCCGTGTCCTGGAAGAGTAACCTTGTTCCTGGAAGGGGCCATGGAGAAGATAAAAGAAGTAGAAAAAGGAAGGACATGAGAAGAATTTGGTGTCTTGGTTGGAATTTTTGATCTGTAAAGAGCTCGACCAACTACCAAAGCTGTCTCATTCGTGAGTGTAAGAATTCTGGAATCTATATCGGCAATACCATAGAGCAAAAGATTAGATGAATTGAAGCCATTGAAGACAAAATCAACAGATAAACCCGACTGAGAAAACAGGATTATGAGCAAAAGAATAAACAAGTGAGGCTTTAGGTGTTTCATCATTGTAGCAAAAGCAAAAACCTGAAGAGCCTCCCTATGATGGAAGAATTCAGGTTTGACAGGGTAAATGAAACAGGAAGGGGATTGAATTGAAAAGTTGGAGGAAATAATGAAAAAGACATGTTAGCTAACGTGTAATGTATTGAAAGTCCACAGTCAAACCTTTTGGATGTGAACAAGTTTCATGGTTTTGCGCCTCCGACGAGTAAGATATTGCAAAACTAGGATTGGGTTTGAAAATCTAGGTGGATTGCTGCACTATTTGACATTCTTATGCAGATAAAATAAGGGGTTTTAAATAAAATAAAAAAATTAGTTACGTGTAGGTATTTTTCTTTCTTAAATCAGTCATTTATATTTTTGGAATGAACATTTATAACAATCATTTTCCTGGAACTGAAATGTCAATGTCAATGACTTATCTATATTGTTAATTCTGAAGGCAATCCATCCTTAAGTTTAAGCCTATGAAGTTGAATTGTCAAGGAGGACCTGCGCAATCTCTTACCAATCAATGTAATGAAGTGTTGGACTGTTGGGTTAGAGGGTATTTGAAAATAATTAAAATATTATAAAAAGTAATAACAGGAGAATGACAAGGGAATAAAAAAGAGAAAAACTACAAAAGGACGAGAAAATGATAGCAGCAGCCAACCGTTCAAGAAAAATCCTGGGTTAGATATGGGAAACACAGTGTTTTGACTCTCAAAATTTTCAACCAACTGTTTTATTTTCAAACAAAGTAAAAGGGGCATTTATGATTTTCACGTTGATCGGGTAATATTTGTCTTTGTACGGAATCAACGACCTGCCGACTGCCAATCAGCTTCCTGGGGCAGATTGAAACTCAAAAACTATTAGAGAAATTTCCGACAAAGCACGGTACTCAGATGCTCATGAAGTAGACAATGAAGAAATTTAAAGAGAATTCTTTTACCAACTTGTAACATTATTTGAACAAATTAAAAGAAGGAAAAGTTCGAGGCAGGTAATCTCTCGTTGTCTCTAACTCATATTAAGGATGATAATAAATCGAATCTTATTGATATAAATTTTTATTTGTTTTAAATTTAATTCGATTTTATAAATTTAACAAGTTGATTCATATATATTTAAAATTATAATTGATTTGATTTAATTTTTTAAAAAAACATTTAATTTGATTTTTTTAAAATTGATTTTATAAAATTAGATGGGTTCAAAACCTCATGGATACAAATTAGATTGTGAACCCTAATTTTAAGCCTCAAAAGTATAAAGAAAAAAACATGTTTTTATTGCTGAATCCATGCTTGAAATAACAAGTAAAAAAATACGTTTCTCTTCCCTTTGGTTAACAAGTTGAACCAAGCTTTATTCTGCAGCCAAGTTTGAATACAAGTTTACCAGACATGTTGTTACTTTTAATTACTTGAACAGAACATGCTTGATGCAGCAACCATGAACAAGCAGGGGTTGCAGATCCCACATAGATTTGGAACATTGCAATACATTCTCATCCAAGTATCTTTGAAGTGAAAAAGTAATCCATCTTTTCATATTCTGAAAGAAATACAATGAATCTGCATTTCATGCTCTAATAAAGAGTGTTAGGCGGCATATATTTGCTTTTATGATAATAATTAGTGGTTGAGAGGACATAATTTGGATATTAGGCAGGTAACAAATTAATGAACTATGCCTTCTGAAAGGCTTTGGAGCACCACTCTAGGTTGTCTGTCTATGGTTGAAACATTTGAGACTGGTTTTAAAGATCTTTGATGAAAAATTAAACTCTTAAAATTCGAAGTATAATTCAATTGATTCATATTGTAATATTTAAAAAATGATATTCAGTAAATTTAAATTTAAATTTTAATATCTGTAACCACTTCTCTTATTCATACTATAATTTTTTATTAAAAAAAAAAAACCGCTACCAAATCCTAGAAGAAACCATTAATCAATTTTATTAGCCTTCTCCCTTGAATGTTTATGTACCTTGGATGGAACTGTCTTCCTTGCATAAAATATATGTGAGAGAGATCCCAGAGGCAGGCAATAACAGAATTCATCAACTTTTTTAGCTAAGAACAAAAGCAGTTCCTTGGCAAACGCTGTCTGATCTCTTGCCCTGCCCTGTGATCAAATTTGCTTAACACAACAGCACGCCAAACCATATTTCTTGATTTCTTTCACATATACCTGAATTATATATAGCCTATACTTATTTGGTTTTTGGCCTTCGGGGATTGGGGACTAACTCTACAGCTCAAAAGTCAAAACACCACCAGATTAAATTGACAGAAAAATGATGTGGTGGTGGAGTTTATTGACCAAGATAGCTTAAAAATTAGGCAATCACTCATCTGTTGAATAATATATATGCCAAATCAAGTGACATCAGCTGGCATACTCTCCAATTCAATATGCACGAATGAAGTTCAATTTATAATTTGTCTGAAAAAAAAAAAAGTGAGAAAGTCAAATAAAAAATTTTAGATGCCTGCAAACAGTAAGTATCTCAATGAAAATAATTGGCCCCTAAGAGATTATAACCCACTTTCAAATCTCTTTTAATTCACAGCACCATGAATAGAATTGAGGCTTTTTGCCAAATAGGCGAACTTGTTCTTCTTTTTCGACATGGGTAGTCAAGTCTATGAAGAGATAACCAGAGCTTTTCTTAATTTAATAGCTATGAAAGTCTTCCAATGTTTTTTTTTTTTTTTTTTTTTTTTTGCATTAGATGCAATCTCTTCCTTGTAAGAAAAGCATGCTATGTAGCAAAATGCACTCATTTTTAATCAGAAAACTGAAACAGTCCTAAGCATATAAATAGGCGAACAATCGTGTGATCTATTTATAAAATATTGGTCTCTTTGTTATATTGATTAGGGTTCAAATCCTAAAAGCATTAAGTACAAAAAAAAAAAAAAGAATGATGCAAGAAAGGAATAGCAGAAGACAAGAGCAACGGAACGAACTTCCTATACAGATGCTGTAATCTGTTCCTTGAGTCTTATCAGTTTGGAGGTTGAGTTGAGCTGGTGGCTGACAAAGGTACAGCAACAAATTTAAAAGACAAATAAAATCAAACTCTCCCATGCGAAAGTACCCTGCTTTGCTCAAAATCATAATGAAGAATGAACAGCCAGTTCAATCTGGTTCCAAAATATGTCTAAAAATCATTAACTAATAAACACAGAGATCAGAAAGTAGATTCAGAACAGGAATCATGCCATTGGCAAGCTAATAGATATAGTCAAGTTAAATTTGCTTCTTAAATTTCATCAGGGCAGCAACTCTAAGATGAAAATTCAATGGCCCATTTCTATACAACTCCACGCTTAGCCCATGCCTACTTATCAAGATTAGATGACAAATCCTTCTAATATTGCAGAAATTTGTCATATTCCACCAATATGGTCTCCTTCATTAAGTCATCAATGTCACTCAAATGCAAGTTTTCACATCAATCTTTTAAGCTACAGTTCCAGACTTCAAGGCCCAGCAAAAAATCATTTTCTCCATGAAAAAAAATGTACTTATTTCACTAAGGAACAGCAGAATACCAGAATTAAAAATGTTATTCATAACAATAATCAAATTAAGTTTGAATCTACGACCTTTACTGTCATAAATCCTTCTAAAATAAACCCTAATTTGTTATCATCTCTAAAATATTGAAGCATGAACTTAAAGTTAACTTTTTTTATCTTAAGAATTACTGCTACTATTTCTTTACTCTCAAACAAAGATGATACAATGTACCAAAAGTGAAAAACAAAGATGATAAAAAAACATTTAATTAATCAAAGGATTCTTAAAGATTTTGATTTTTACAGATAAAGGTAAGAAGGAAATCCTTCAATAACCAAATTGGCGACAGGTCGAGTTGAGACGGATTATTATTTATCTCAAATTTGATTCGATTTTATATATGTTAAATCTGAATCCGATCTGATTCGATTTGAATTTTTTTTAATTTTTTTCATACATGAATTTAACTCAACTCGATAATGTATAAATTATATCCGATCTGATCTGATCTAAAATTAATAAAATATTATTTTTTAAATATAAATATTTAAATATATAATTAATTAATTAAAAAATAATTTTTATATAATATCAAGTTGAGTCGAGTTTATCTAAAATTCAAATTCGATCTGATCCAACCCAAAACTCGATTTAAAAAAAAAAAATCAACTCTATAAAATCGAGTCAAATCAAAACCCGTCGAAAACAAGTTGAGTTGCCGACCCTATTGTCACCTAACATGAAGTAAATTTATTAAGAAGTCTCCCATGTTCCTTGGATGGTAGGTCAAGGAGAGATGTATAAGGTGAAACCTAAAACCTTAAGAAACTCTTAATTAGTTGAATTTTTTTTTCTTTTGGGATTTTCTTAATTAGCTTAGTTAAACAAGTGAATTATGTGATAAGAATAAATTTTATATATTTTTAATATTTCTATTTCTTACTTAAAGTCAAATTTAAGCTTGAAATTCAATAACTTTAAAATTTATCAATTAATTATACAAAAATAAATATAAATTAATTGTACCCAATTTGTGCAAAAAAATTAGACCCCAAAAGCATCTATTAATATTGTTTTTTTTTTTTTAATTTGGTACTAATAAGTATTTTGCATTATAAATCACTTTAATATTTTTCTTAAGCTAAAAAAAATATGCATATATATATTATATCATTATCAATTCAATCATCATACAGTACAGTGTCCCTTCATATTTCTTTTTTTTTTTAATTAATATGAACATCATTAGAAAAATACAATGATGGAAATATATAACATGTTTAAAAACCATTGAGAAAGAGAGATGAAATCCAGAGGCAACTTGCCTCTTTGGTGTTAATACATAATAATTAAACCACATAGAATAAGTCTCTCAAATTCCTATTAAAGAGGAGAATGTTACATGGATGGTCCCTTTGAAAATCATGCCTGAAAACAACACCTAAAATTTTATTACATGTGAACAAGTTGAAACAATGACATTAGATAAAAAAAAAAAAAACTCATTTATTTTGTTTAATATCCAAATAAATCTTTAAACTTTATTTCAAAATGTAAATAAGTTTTTGATTTTTTATTATATGAAATTAAGATTATAAACTTTCATTTTATTATAATTATACTTATTAAATTTTAAAATGAGATGAATAATATTTAATTAATAAAATTTTTTAAATAGTACCTCCTTAGATATTTATTATTTAGCTCATACAAATGAATTTAAATAACTATTTTTACAAATTAAATCATCCAATTAAAAATTATAAATAAAAAATTAAATATTTTATATCATCAAATTTTAATTATAATAAAATAAAAATTCATAACTTTAATTCTGTACAATAAAAAATAAAAAATTTATTTACGTTTAGAATAAAATTTTAATTTAATCTATGGGTAACAGCTATCCTCAAAATAACTTGTATTGTCACTTGTTTTTTTCTTCAATTTAATCTATTATTACATATATAAAAAAGTAGTAGTATATCAGTTAGAAGAGATTAAAATTATTTAAAAAAAAAAAAAAACAGATATCCTTGTCGCTTTCAGTTCACGTTCTGTTGTCTTCTATTTTAATGCAACCGGCAAATTTTATATAATAAATGTTGAGATTTTTCATTAAAAATTTGTTTGGACAAATCTCATGTTTATATTTACGGTAGGCTTTATTTTATTACAAAAGCCAAATATAAACCATCACCGTCCGATTTTGTCACATCATGCGCACATGGGGCAGATTAACCTATCAGGATTTAATTATTTGTCACATTCACGTCATAAATTGGTCATTTATAAGTATACAATGAACTTTCCCATTTTTTGCAATATCCAAAAAGCATGTAATAAGAAATATATTAACTCGAAAATTGTGATCTGAGATTTGATCAAAAGATCACTTTTCCCTCGATTTCTCAAAACCCTTATTATCCTATCAAAAACTGAAAAACCCAGATTCCCTTTTCTTCAAATTTCTTAACTTTTTTATTGTTGAACTGCATTCGACTTCAATTTGGTGGCTCCAAGAGTTGTGGGGGTGCTTGTTCTTTTTTGAAGTTTTTTTTTTGTTGAGTTGTTATCAAGTAATGAAGTTTTAAGTTTTTGTTTGTTGGTTGGTTTGATTGTTTTATAGGGTGAAGTAAAGTTTGATGAGAGGAGTGAATTGGGGTTGTTAATAAAGAGACAATGACTGGAGGGTCATTGGGGATTCGTTCTGGGAGTTGTGGGACTTTGGACAAACAGCTGCAAAACGGAGTTTTGCCAATTCAAGCGCCTGCTGCAACAAGAAGTAAACCTTCTAAAATGTTTAAGGAAAAGGAGACATTTGTTCATTGGATCTGTAAGTTTGCTGGCCGCAAAAAGGTTGGAATGTTTCTCCTTTGTGTCGTCTCCGCTGCCGTTTTTGTTTGGGTCTTATATGTTGGCAAAGGTTGGTTTTTTTTTATTTGTTCTCTATTTCTCTTCATTATTGGATTGTTCATAGTGAATTTTATGAACGATGTGATAGTGAATTAATGATTCTTTGGCAGGTTGTTCTGATATTTTGATGAAAGAAGTGGAAAAAAACTTTGTTTACTTTTTGTAGTAACATTGATTAGAGTTTAGTTGTAACCTTATCATCTGTAGTATTTCGGTTTTGGTTAGAGTGTTTGAATTAAGTAATGGGCATCTAGAAGTTTGCTCTCTGAACTCTATTAAGTTGAGAATATAGTGCCTGCCCACTCTCTCTGGAGGAGAATAATGTTAATGATTCAACTCAATTGAATTGCTTTTCTTCGTTGTCAATCTTGAAATGTAGTTTTAAATTTTTATTTGATTCACTGTTTCTTACTTTTTTTTAGTTTTTGATGATGGTTAAACCAGGGATAATTTAATTTGCTTCCCTCCTTGTTTTGATTTCGGATTATGTCTTTAGCTCAAGCTGGTTTCATTTTCTTCTTGTTTTGGACTTCTAGCTGCCAATTAGCTTTAGTTTTGTGAGGATATGATATGCGAATTTGAATGTATTGTGTGGCCTGTTTACAGGTGAAGATCAAGAAAGTGACAATGTCCCTAAGGTAAATGATAGCTTGCCTCTAAATAATTCTGGATCGCCCTTATTAAATGAAGTACAAAGTGTCAGAATAGACAATTGGACATCTTTACCAATCAGTGTGGAAGGAACTGAAGTTGGGGTAATGCCCCCTCCTCCTCCTTCATATTTTCTGGGCTACACTCTTCCTTCGGGGCATCCATGCAATGCTTTCAGTTTACCCCCTCCACCAGCAGACAAAAAAAGAACAGGACCACGTCGTAAGTTTTCTTTTGTTTTGTAATTTTTTTTTTCAATTTATTTATTTTGGATTTTGTATTTTAATATTGCGAGTTCAGGTTTTTCCCCATTGAAATATAATTTCTGAGTTTTCTTGCTTGTTTATGCATAGCTTGTCCCGTATGTTACCTTCCTGTGGAGGAAGCTGTTGCCTTGATGCCAAAAGTCCCATCATTTTCTCCGGTACTTAAGAGTTTAACATATATTTATGAGGAAAACTTAAATAAAGAGACAGAATTTGGAGGTTCAGACTTTGGTGGGTATCCTACTTTGAAGCAGCGGGATGATTCATATGACATAAGAGAGTCAATGAATGTGCACTGTGGGTATGGTTCACCTCTTTTTTTTTTTTTGGGGGGGGGGGGGGGTTAAAATTTTAAAATGAACATGATTTGTTATGCTTAATGTCTTAAATCATATTTGCTAGTATTTTCAAAAGAAAAAAAATTCATATTTTTTAGCTTGTCAATTTAGTATTTTGTTTGATGCGTGGTGTGCATTTGCCAGATTTGTCAAAGGAAGCAAACCAGGCCATGGGACAGGATTTGACATTGATGACAATGATCTTCTTGAGATGGAGCAATGTCATGGAGTGGTTGTTGCATCAGCAATATTTGGTACCAAATTTTACTATATTTATTTTATTGTTCTATTCCTTTGTTGAAGCCACTGAATTTTTATTGAATAATCCAATTCTTTTTCAGGAGCTTTTGATATCATACAACAACCAAAGAATATTAGCGAATATTCCAAGCAAACTGTCTGCTTCTATATGTTTGCTGATGAAGAAACAGAGGCTGATTTGAAAACTAATGGTGGTTTGGATGAGAGTAAGAAGATTGGAGTATGGAGAATTGTTGTGGTGCGTAATCTTCCTTACACCGATGGAAGGCGCAATGGAAAGGTAAATGTTTAAAATGTGGACAATATGTCCTTTGAGTTTAGATCAGAGTTAGAAAATCCTGAGTTTAGCATATGACAGTGAATATGGTCTGCATTGCTTGATTCATTCTCTAAGAATGGGAACCAAGAAGTTTCATTTGGTTTTGACGTAGCCTTACAGAAAGGAATTTGAGATAAGGCATCAACTTGATCCCACAATATCCTTCTATATGTTAAATGCATTTAAAAGAAGTTTTATCACGTTTCACTCATGTTATGCCTGTAACAGATCCCAAAGCTTCTACCACATAGGCTGTTTCCCAATGCTCGTTTTTCATTGTGGATTGATGGGAAACTCGAGCTTGTTGTTGATCCATTTCAAATTCTTGAGAGGTACTTGGATTTTCTGTCCAGCTTCCAAAATTTTATAAGATTCTTAAGTCTTTATGTGTTGAAGTTACACTAGATTACATGATATCTGGATGTGAGTCTAAAATCACTCTGTAATTACTGTCATGAATACGGTGATGTTCAAAGTTTTGGCTCCTGTTCCATAGTTTTCTGCCAACTGAGGAGTTTAGCTTTTCTTGTGTCTTTTATTTTAGCCTGTTTCAGGGCCAATGCTTGTTTATTCTAACTCTTTCAAGTCTTTCTTCAGGTTCTTGTGGAGACAAAATGCTACTTTTGCAATTTCTAGACATTATAAACGCTATGACGTGTTTGATGAAGCTGAGGCAAATAAAGCTGCTGGCAAATATGATAATGCCTCCATTGACTTTCAGGTTGACTTTTATAAAAAGGAGGGTTTGATCCCATATTCTGAGGCTAAACTTCCTATCACAAGTGGTAGGATGCAAGACAATTGCTCTTGTGTTATTTTGTTTTGACTGTGCCTCTTTCAGCTTTAATGAAGTTGCTTTATTGGCTGGCCCTGCAGACGTTCCTGAAGGATGTGTAATATTGAGGGAGCATGTTCCTATTAGCAACCTCTTTACTTGTCTTTGGTTCAATGAAGTTGACCGTTTTACTTCCAGAGACCAAATTAGCTTTTCAACAGTTAGGGATAAGATTGCGGCAAAGACAAATTGGACTGTGAATATGTTCTTGGACTGTGAAAGGCGCAACTTTGTCGTTCAGGTATTTATTTATCTGTTTTTTTTATGTTTTGCATTCTGAAATATGCTTAAGTAATGTAATGCTGGAAATTTAGCAAATTGATGCCCTTTTTCAGCTAAGAATCATTTGCTACAGTTTAGTTTCAATCTTACTACATCACAACTAATTTTTCACTTACAGATTTCTGAAATTGCATGTGTATATGGAGGAGCACTTCACTTTCTCCTGAACCTAATTTTATGCGTTTGTTGGTGTTTTCTTTGACGCCAATGGCAGCCTCTGTATATTGCAGCAGCTACTATCTTTCCATGATGATGAACTTAGAAATCCTAATTGAATCTCCAAAAATTTTTATGCTTGTTTTCTTAATGGAGGGTTGTAATCTTATTTGTTCAAACAAGCTAAAAACCCCTCATTGAACCTTCAAAATTTCTAGCTTTTGTTATGCCTCACTATTGGTAACCTGTGATAACTGATTCTTTCTCCCTGTGCATACTTTGGAAGTTGCTACCATTCTCATCACATCCATCTAAGGCAAGGATTCATTTCTTGCATATCGTAAGATTGTGTCATGAGCATAACATGGCCGAATTTGCATGTAGGATTTGCTAGAACCTGCAACCTAACCATCAAATTTTACATCAATTATAAATCTTCATTTCTCTTGAGCTACCTATTATGGTTCTATTTCTTGACTCGGCCTCCCTCTCTTCAATGTAGCAACATCATAAGGAAGTTTTAGCGCGCTTGGCTCAGATGGCTCCTCCTGCCATTTATCCACCACCACCACCAGTGCTATCTTTGCCCAACGATCCACCTAGAATCTTTTCACTTGAAACTTCAGGTGAAAGTATTGTTAGTGCTCCACTAAGGAAGTTCTCACCAAGACGTGGAAGAGATAGGAGGTCAGGTTCCAGGCGCCATAGGAAAGCTGGCAAGGAAATGGTTACAAGTTAAAAGTTTTTGTCGAGGCAAATTACCATTCTTTTTCCTCCCCACTTGCAGAAATGTTCATCCCTGGGGTTGGAAGATCAAGCAAGAGTATTGTAGTTCTGTTCCATAAAAACTACAGTCCATCCAATTTTTTCCTTTTCCTTTCACTTTGGCAATTGTCTATTTTCATTATTTTTTGTTGTATATATAAAGTATAGTCCCAAATAATTATCAATATATATGGGGTACCACCAACATCCTCATGTGGTAACCCTTTTTTTTTTGTTTCACTGTATTGGGACTCAAATTATTTAATAGCCATCTTTATGTTCTCTCTTCATTGAAAGTCAATAAAATCTATGAAATTAACCTCAGCATTTTCTTATCTAAGAGTGTAAATAATATTAGTATTTATAAATTATTTAAATTTGACTCGAATAAAATTTAAATTTAATTTAATTATTATTAAGTTAAATTTAAATAATTTAATTTATTAATCGAATTAAGTTTGAATATTTTTATATTCAATTTGAGTATTTTATAAGTTTAATCAAATTTTTATTATTTTAATTAATAAAATATTTTAAATTTAAATTTAAACATAAATAATTAAATTTTTATCAAATATAAAAATTAAATTTATTTTTATTTATTAATCAATTATAATTAAATAAATTTAAATAATTTAATTTTTATTTTGAATTAAATTTAAATTAAAAAAATTTAAATCAAATTTTAAATCACAAACTTCGAATTAAATTTAAATATATATTTAATAATATATCGACTCAAATTACACGATGCCGTTGCCCCGTTCTTATGGTTTCAATTTGCTACATTTCTCTGACAGATGGTTTTATTTAACCCACGGAAATGTACCTGTCGGTACTCTTAACTGCCACGTGTCCTTAAAAGGACAAACAGATTTTTAACATCTTAAAGTGGGTTCCACCAGATCCTTATCTTATGTGAAGTCCGGGCAAGGCAGAATCTTCAATGACAAAATCACCGTAAAACTAAAACTCCTTTTCCTTTTCCTCTTCTTCTTCGCCTTCCTAAAATGAGATTGAGGTCAGGGTTCTTTTACACTACAACCATGCCTAGTTTAACAAACCCTTAACAACCGTGCAATCGAATTTAGAAAGAAAAACCAAAACCCACGAAAATGTCAACGACATCATCATCACCGTCATCGTCAGCCTTCTCGGTGATCTGTCTGCTCCACTCGGTGATCGCCTTGTCAAGCGGCGCGCTCATGATGTTCCACATGAAGGAAATCTACACCTTCACGCATGGGATCGAAACCGCCACGAGACTCCTGGGCTCGACCCCACATGATCAGCTCCTGATCCGGACCTCCGATTCTTTCTCGGGTTTGCTCTTGTTCGCGATTGGGTTCTTGCTGTTCATGGTCTCTTCCGTTAAAGACAAAGAGTTCCATTCGTTCTTTGCCAAAGGTTGCACGGTTTTACATGTTTTCACGGCGATGTGGAGGTTCTGGTTCGAGAGAAGGGTTGAGGATTTGGCTTGGGATTGGCTTAGGCAGACAGTTGGCGACATTTTGTTGGCTCTCTCTTGGGTATTCTTTTTGGTTTACTCTTGGAGAGAAAAGTATGATTAGGTTTAATTCTGCTGGTTAAACTTACATTTTCTTTTTTGCTGCTTCTTTTTTTTATATATATAGTTTTTGGTGCTTTTGATTTTGTAATTTGGTGGTGTATATTCTGTGAAGTTCAGCAATGTGTGTCCTTTTGAAATGTAGTGTAAGATTATGGGTATGAATCAGAATTTGAGAAAATTTTCATCTGTTTGCTTTATTTTCACTTGAAATGATACATATGCAGATTGTAAATCTTTCTTTCTTGGTATTTTTTGGGATAATTGTCAAACTATTGGCATCAATGTAAAATGGTGATTTGTGAATGGAAGTTGAAGCGAAGTCCTTTTGTTAAGGATTAGTTGCTGAGGAAGAATACAAGTGAAAGAGAGGTGGGGTATTGTAGATAAGGTATCCTATATCTTTCTGTTGGGTTCATAAATTGGTTGCAAATGATTTTGGACATGATCTCTAAAGAGTTGTTTCTTTTGTTTTGCAAATGACCAGATAAAGTTTAGAAACTAGTAAATTGCAGGGAGTTAGGCAGAAATATAATCTATTATGCCAAAAAAAATCAAAGCCATAGCTTGCCTGTGTTACTTTTAGCATCTGCTTGAGGAAGGATGTATGTGAAATCTTGATTTGAATTTGGATATATCAACCGAAAGCAGCCTGAGTTTGAGGAAATGGCCAAGTTGAAGGTCTGTCTTAGATTCTTGGTAGCAAGAAAAAGAAGTGGCAAGAAGCTGTCATGGTACTGAATTTTGAGCTGCAGAGTTCACCTGAAGCCAGTCAGAGTCTCTCATAATCCTTTTAGCATTTTACTTCCATACTAATTTTTTGTCGCCATTTGTTGAGTTGACAAATTTAAATACATAAATTTGTCTCATCAATGATGTGGGACATAAATAAATGCTACTTAAAATATGTAGATATTTTGTATAAAGAGTATGATTATTACTGCTATTATGCTTGCTCTAATAGCATTAATAATCTATTCGTACTCTATTATAGTTGGGCGTCATATGTTACTTGGTCTCAATTCTACTGGACGAACTTCCTCTTATCATGTAGTATAGATTTTCAATGAAATTCTCAATTAATGCTCCCTTAAAAGGTTGTTTGTACTCGGTTCTTTATGCTAAACATCTTTGTACTGTAAAAATAATTTGTTAATTCTTGTTTTTTTTTTTGTTCTTTTAGAGTTTTCATCTTCAAATTGGTGCACTGTTAGGCACTCCTCTACAAGTAACTCCAGGTCCTGAGGATGGCAAGAGTAGTTAATATGGTGAAACCCATGCCCCACATCTATTTCTAAGCTTTGGATCAGGATTCCTTTTTTTTATATCTTTCTCTATTCTTCTTATCTCCATTGAAAATTTGTAAAAGGCCTCAATAATTTCAGGATCCCCTGACGAGTTGAAAGGTCCTTTCTATCTCCTAAATACTCTTCATCAGCTGAATGACTGGAAAGTATAGAAGCGTAGATATGTAGCTTAGCATTTCGCTTAACATGGCAATGATGCCAAGAAATACCCCACTGGATCTACAAGGAATGTTGCATAGTCCGAATCATGTTCATTCGGCACTAGTCGCCTCATAGATGGTGGGCGTAAGGAAAATATCCTCCATAAGGATACATCCCAAAGTTCACTGCAGCGTGGTGGGCTGACGCAACCCAGGTAATGGTGGTGAGGATGAAGATAAGATCATTTGGAGTTTGAGAGTTTGGACCACCAGCTGGCATGGCAAATATCAGCATGGCCTACATTGATAGATTCATAGTAACAGGCGTTGAGTTCTGAGTCTGATTCAATACTACTGCCTCATGATCGTAGTAATTTACATAGGTTTCAACAAGTTCCTCAATGGCAGACCATATCAGCAACCCATCATTTGCATGTGGGTAGTCTTGGATAAAGTTTCATCCATGTGGCTGTGTTGGGTCTGGTACTGCCATTCCTCTGAACAGTAATGAGATTAGAGTTATATTTTCTGCGAGTGAGATCATTATAAAAATTAGAGGACTAATAATTGCTGCACACAACTTAGGGAATTTACCTTCTAATCAAGTCAGCAGGAAGGCTTTCCATGTCAAAGCGCCACCAATTCTGATATGCAGAAGAAGTAACCTCCATTGAACACTCTGCAGTGGAAAAGAGGGACTCAATTACTACTCCAGCATTAAAGAGAATCTGACGATCCAGTGCATTTACATCCGTTGTGTATCGCATGTGAGGATGAAGAAGTTTGTAAATGGGATGCATTACACTGAGTTGCCGGTGTGCTGCCATGATAAATGGTTCCAGGCATGCATGAGTTCTCAACCTGTGCAGCCATCAATTCCTTGATTACAATTTATCATTCAGTTTTAGACTTTTCGTTGAAATAAAGTATTAGTGCAAGTAGCATTGCAAATACCAATGCTGAATTAGTTGATGAACACCAGTGTCGTTTGAGCAGACATGGTATTTGCCAAGTTTTCATAACCAGCAGGTGGTGGCATCAACTGGAGGAGTGAGAACACGCTTTGATGGTACATTCTGGTTCTTCTCTGGGAGGCTGAGCTCAATAGCAATTTGCTTTAAAGATCCGATATGGGTCAAGAGGAAACTTGTTCGAGTTGCATAGGCTTTTCTGCTCTGATGAGCATTTATGCAGTTGAGAAATGGAAGGTAAACATTGTGGTAGTCCAATATAAGCTATTTATTCTCTTCTAGTGCCTGAAAAAGAATGGCCATAGCTCAGAAAATCTCATAATCAGTAGATTCCCTATGCAAATTGTCAATCTGATTACGAATTGTACATCCATCAATGTGCAACTAAGCATGGCCGTAGCACAGAAAATGGTTCTGAAAATTTAATCAAACAAGTTGAGTGGCTTTCTTTTTTCACCGTCAATCTTTTCCCTTGCCTATTGTACAGACATCCCATTACGGTGGCATATGATGTGTTATTCTCTTAAGGCTGAATCTTGAGGACCATAGATAGAGGGATCCAGTTTGCTTACTGGTGGAAAGACCTATAGGAAAACACATGTTCAGCAACTTGTCATTGAGTTGTTCTTTCAATACTAGCTAATAGTAGCAAAGTAAGAATTGATCCTTCTCACCTTGAGCTTTCTATGCTTAAGGGATTCATCCCAGCAAGTGTTAGACGTGCCAATTCATCATCTCGTAAGTAACATGATGGAACATCCCCTGAAATTGGAGCGGTGTGTTTAGACATCAATTCTATTTTCAATGCATTTAAATTCCATATTCCTACTTGCACATGTTAAGACCCATACAGTTTTGATCCGAAAGTTTGATGATTTTATCAAATCTATCTTTGGACGGTCAAACTTGAAAATATTTTGCATACATTCTTTGATCAATCTTATCAAGCATTCTAGGAACCATCTCCCAAAATTCATTCTCTGATTTGATTTCACAGGGTGGACTCCCTTTATAGAGATCATTAATGTCAGACTAAGTCTTGATAACATCACAGTTCATTGAGGCCCCTTTAAGAGAAGGAAATATATTACAAAGCATCAGCTTCCAATTTCCTTCAGCCATTGCTGCTATCTTGAAATCTTCAAACGCTTCATCTCTTGGTACATACTTCAGCATGTATTTATTCACAGGGGACTCCACAATCTCATCTGTGGCAAAAATCAGCATCTTTAGTGAAGCTCAAATTATTGAAATAATGAAATCAATTGGTAGAAAGATCATTCAAAGAATGAAACATAGCCTGCATCGGTTGGAGGACGTCCGGTACAGCGCCTTGGATAGGGCTGATCTTTGCCTCCTAGAATTGGCCTTACATATTGAGCTCCTTTATCTGGATGTCCCAAGTCATTATAAGCATCAAAGTCATAAATTCTATCTGACAGAGTCCTAATGCCCTCTGCATTACCCCTTAATTGCCTTAATCCCTTTTCTCTGAGCTCTTTTAGTCCTACGGGCGTGTCATTAGGTAAATATGCCTGCAGCAACCAAAAGAATATTGCAAAAAATTATACCATTTCTGCCCTACACCTATTGATTTGTTCTAAAATTACAGACCAAATTTTGAGAAGTATTGCAACTTGGTACATAAATAAATAGAGGAAATTGAATTGTGACATTATCTTTTTTTTTATGGATTAAATTTGAACCTTGTTAGGAAAGAAGACCCTTTTCTCTGCTGGAACTGATCTGGTTGAACCCAAGAGTTGCAAGCAAAATGGACAATTCCTTCAATGGCAATGCTTTCCAGATAGAACTCCTTTGATATTTCTTAGTCACTAAGATGGCTCCGGGGATACCAAAGCTTGCATCTACCATAAATTGAACTTTGTGGGTGACTTCATCATCATTTATTTTCAGATTTCGGGACCAGTGGAACATAGTTTCCTTGCTCACCTTTGGCTTCTCCAACTCTTCAAAGTTAAATTAAATCACGTTAGAAAGGGAATCAAAGTCAAAATTAGCTAGCACATGACTCAACCGGTGATTACATTAAACCCCAAAGAAAATAATCAAATTTGGCATAAAATTATGTCATTGATAGTCGATCCCCTATCAAACCGTTTCCTTCTCATTTTCCTTTTCTTCCTATTTCTTTGCCCGAACAAAAATAGTAACAAGTTTCATACGTTTTTCTACTAGTACAATATTTTCATTCTTTATTGTTTGTTCTACTAAGCACATCTCAACGCTGGTTTGCTCGTTTTTTCGGGTTGCAGAAAGACATTTGATTCTGAGTTCAGAGTTCAGCCTAACTTATGGAAACTATGGAGAAGTAGGGTCTGGACTTTGGGAAGTGGGGCACAGCTGACACCCTAGGCGATTGTTTCAAACTTTCAATTGCTTTACCACCTATAGCAGATTTCCTGCCTGTATCTTATAAATTTGTCAGATGGATTCAAGGGGCATTTAAAATTGTTTCAAGGTCGTAAGAAGAAGAAGAAGAAGAAGAAGGTCCTATCTTTTTTTTTCTTTTACAGAGTGTTTGAATTGAGGGGAGAGAAAGAAAAAGAAAGTGAAGTAAAGGAAAGGAAAGGAAACAAAAATATTTTTTTTATTTAAATAAATATTTAATTAAAAAAAAGTAAAAATCAATTAATTTTTAATTTTTTTATAAATTTAATTTTTTAATAGCTCAATTTAGAGAAAAATTAAAAAAAAAAAAATTTTTATAAAAAGATTATTAGGTCTATTATTTTATTGATATTAAAAATTTAATATAAAAAATTTAAATAGATCATAATTATTTTATAATTTTTTTAAAACTATTTTTTTCAAGTAAGTTTCATATATATCTTTTAATATAAAAGTTTTTTATAATTTTTTAGTGATTTAATTTTAATGAATGATTGAATATAAATAGATATATTTTTTAAGTTTATGATATATTAAATTAACTCAAAATTTATCAATGAATATCTGTAAAATATTTTTCTACTTCATTTGATTAAAAATTATTGATAAAATAATAATTATAAGATTAGATAAATTAACAAATATATTATGATCTAGAAATATTTTAAAATCACAAATAATAAAAAATTATAATTGAAAAAAATTATTATAATAATTTTTTTTTACTTTTTATTCAAAAAATAATTGATAAAATTTTTTTCATTAATTTTAATTATCCAAACAAAAATTACACATATATATATATTTAAAAAAAAAATAAATTTGTTAATATTTATCCAAATATCTTCGTGGAGTGTGAAAGCTTTGAAGGTATTATCAATTAAAAAATATAATTTCGTCAGATTGGCAACTCATTGAAATTATTAGAAACCTTGACCGGTGGAGCGGTCATCAGCCAACCCTTTTTGAACCGGTTAGCCTTCCTGTAGCTGCAGGGCCGGGGATTGAACCGTCGCCGCACAGTCATGCAAACTTCATTATGCCCATTGGGAAGTTCTACTCCAAATTGCCATAGGAAAAACAAAAGTAATGACCTGATGTTAACGATAGATACGGGAGGGTGACCAAAAATGTTTTGGTTTGTGCTTACAAATTTCTTACAATTTCTCGACAAGCAAACCATTAATAGAGAAAGAAAACAGGGTGCTTTCTTGGGTCAACTTGAGTGCTAACAAGTTGTAGAACAACACCTCTCTGAGCTGTATGGGCGTCGGAATCTAACCAACGAAAAATCATATCCTTCACATATTTCACGGTGTCATACTTGACTGTAACCAGAGCTGTAACCTCGAGTTGCACTGGAGTTTCAGCCGCCGCCGCTTTAATGGACTCAGCCTTAATATGGGCTGCCATGGGAGTTGCCATCACCTTCCTTACTTGCACTAATGTGCTCTTGCGCGAATTGTAAGGCAAAGAGATAGAAGAAGAAACTCTGTTTTGCTGGTGGCCGTTGAAATGACTACAAACGGAAGATTTTGTAGGGAGTTTGCCCATTGCAAGTGAACCTAGGATTTCCCTGTTTCCTGCCATGACATCTTAAACACTACTCGTGTATTGCAGAAGTAACGTGAAAAGATATGGTGGGACTAGCTGCTTCAAGTCTAACCTGTTCCTGCTTTATATTGCAAAGGGTATCCGATCCATCAAATCAACTAAAACATGTTTTGTCTACTTTCATTTACAGACGACATACGAAATATATCTATCCCACCCTTCTCTCTCTTTTCCCAATCACAATCTTCTTAAGAGTCCAATGAGACGTGGTGATCAAACAATGGTTTTTGTCAAACTTGATCATTAGCTCGATTGAAAATTCTGAAATTCATTATCATCAAAACGAAACTGGATCGTGAAAATTGCTGCCATAACCTTCGGGTGGTGTGTACGTTGCCGTTGTATAACTCAGATGCCACCGATTTGATAAAATGTGTGAGAACTCATCTACCTCAGGTGCCTATGGTTTGTGCAGCCTTGTACATGAGGCCACCTTTCTCTTAGCTTATCCAAAAAGGAGAGAAAAGATTTCAATTTTCTAATAAGTATTATTTTATAGAATAAATAAATTCATGCTTTTCGATTCTCAGCGCATTTATCGGGCTTGCTCATAATAATGCTCTTCGAATGAAAAGAAACCAATTTTAAGTTGTATAAGTTTTAGATGTCTGTGCTTATACGACTCAAACAATATGACAATTAAGGTCTCATTTATATGCTTAAAATTGAAAAACAAAATTACTAAGTAGACCTTTTCTAGTGCGATTTACATAATTGAATAAGAAATTACCAAGGGCAGAAATGGAATTGCCACAAAGTCGAGAACACTCTCCAAAAAAAAAAAAAAAAATTGCCCATAACTTTCATCCAATGTCTAAAAATCGTAACGCGAAAAAGGAAACGAAAGAAGAGGGAGGGAGAAGCCGAGTGGGAAAGTGAAAATTCAATACACAACAATATGACAAATCTAACACCAGATTGCAGGACCAAACTAGTACCGGACAACATCCTGGAGACAATCATAAAAGTGAGAAATCTTAATCTTCTCTCTGCCAGAGAAGATTGCTTCTGCTGCTCCACCTTGCTCTCCCTGAGCGGCCATCTCAATCAACATATAAAGCTTCTTGATAGGCATCTATAAGAAAAAAAAAAAAGAAAACAGGTAAGAGCTGGCATCAATAATAACTTTCTTGCTTTCTCAAGTACCATAGCCACATGCTTGTGAGCATGCGCAACTGCAGTTGCACATGGAACAGAAGTTGAGTTTCATCTGTTCACTTTATACGCTCAAAAGATCACCTAGACCAAGATTTAACTGCAGAAGTAGAAAGGACACCTAGCATGGATTGAATGTTCCAAATACGGCCGACAGTATACAAAATTCATCCCCACTGGAAATTCATCATGGAGAATCACATATCTAAAGCTCAAAGTTCTAGAAAAACATAACATGACACTTGATAGATCATACTCTCAATCTGTTTTCCTCGCTAACTTTAAGCATGCACTTACCCATGAACAAAAATCTCCGCCCTACCTCAATTCTTTAGTCCTTCCACTCCACAATCACTTTGAACGTGCACAAAAGCACATTCACATGTATAGTTGCACACATGAAGAGAAGAACAAATGTAAAGATGTGCCTATGAATGAATTAAATCGAGGTAGGTTGTTTAAACAAGATACCTAAGAATTCACCTAACGAAAGACACAAAATTAACATCCACTAGGTGACTTCAACTGAATAATGTCAAATTTTTGGATGCAGCAACATTTCCATCCAATTAATCATCTGGCATTTAAATTATGCTTGTTTAACAAAGGTAAAACCAGTGACAAAACATTCAAGAAAAAATATTGCAATATAGAAAATGTCCTCAAATGTGACAGGAAAATAACTATGTTTAAACTCACATCATTCAGGGCCTCTGCAGCTGCACTGACATCTTCTTCAGCAAATACATTCAGCTGTTCCAACACCTGGGGGTAGAAAAAGCAGATTAAATAGATTTAACTCAGTAACTAAAAGCAATACTAAATTGTTTTGCTTTAGAGTTTAGGACAAACATGACAGTGAAACATTCAATCAGAATGTCTGTCCAGATACCAGACAAAATACTTAGCAATGTAGTTGAAGAAGTAAGGTGATCAGTAAAACTATCTGATGGTAAAGAAATTTCCACTAGTTTAGTTCAATTAACTTCCCCAAGTTGTCTCAGCTGCTTTTATTAAAGAAGACAGCTTTAAAAGTTATTAAGTGCATATTAATATCATTCTCTAACATTTTTCTGCTGTTGTGGTATATTAGCATTAACTGGGCAAATGGGCACCAACAAGCCAAAGAAAGCAAAAGAAAAATATCATATCCCTAAATGATTACTGGAAAGAAACAAAATTGAAAACATTATTACCTTCTTTGCATCATCTGCCTTCAAAGTAGGAAGATGGTAGGTGATAGAGAAAGCATCACAAATGCCAACTGAATCTAAGAAGCCCACCTCACTAGTTGTCCCTATAACCAGAAGTTTTTTCCCCTGAAAAAAACATTTGCACATTTAAATAACAATAAACTTAATTCAGATTAAAAACTATTAGTTAAAGTTAACAAGATTCTCAATTTACTTGTTTGGCATCTGATTTGCTTAATATATGAATCAAATTGTATTTTCTACTATGCGTATGATTTAACTAGTAAGCAGAATGGGATTTCTCAATCAAGAGGGAGTGAGATAGCAGATATTATTCATCTGGTTCAATTCTCTTTTTTAATTAAAATAAAAGGTAAAAAAAACTTTAGATATTTCCCAGGTCCCATTTGGAGTACTTGATCACAATAAAATACATAAGGGACCAAAGAGAAACCTTAGGAGGAAGACGTTTGAGAAGGACCAACAATGTCTGAGAAATTAAATTTGAAAAACGGGGCCCAATAGCAACATACTCCAGTAGCCTGCAACAATAATTAACCAATTAATTCGGTCCACATAGCACATTTCATATCGAGATGAGTAGCATAGGTTTTTGTCTTTCTGATTCCCCCTACCTTTCTATGTCATCAAGGATAATGATGCTCAAGGGAGACTTGTAAGCATCCTCAAATACCTGCCAAAATATAATAAATTCAATAGTGTTCTTAACTTTTTCTAATGTAGGTTATCCTAGCTTGATGTCTGATGCACAAATATTCCTTAGTCGTCAATTTCCAAATGTAAATCAGAATATCTTGCATATGTGAGTGTAAAATAGCTTAACAAAAGCAAAGTTCCAGTTTAGACCAATAATTTATTCGAATACAAGTATTCATATCACTTCCACATTTCAAGATCTTGGCGCCACAAACCTTGACAATCTGTGCACATTTTGTACTCTCATGAAGGCCAATCATCGATTCGGCCGAGACCTAAAAAATAACAAGAACAGGAATCTTAAACCAAAAATAAAAGCAATATATTCATACATGCAATAGGGGCAGCAGCTTACTATCTTGACATATGGGAAATCACTGTCAATGCCAATGGTAGCTGCCAATGCTGTTTTGCCACTGCACAAGTGAACTTAGATTCAGTTGAAGTTAAAACTAAAAGATGTAAAACAAAAAAGAAAAATCATGATGCCTACCTTCCACTTGACCCTTCTAGAAGACAACTAACAAGAGGACTTCCTTTGCTTACTTTGACCTGCTCTACCAGTAGCATGGCTCTCTGATAAATATGCTTATGCCGACCACCACAATCCACCATGCCATTAAGTCTAAAAAATATGTTATGTGAAATAATTCAGGCAAAGGTACTCAAAAACGAAGGATATGAGTCATGTTCTGCTAGAAATAAAAAAATTTGTAAAAATGAGAAAATATTTTAAATAAATGGACTTTAATTCCCCAAAAAGCCAACTCAAGGTTCAAGATAAATATTCACATTTTCCAAAGCCAACCCAAGAACAATTATCTATAAACCTAACCAAAGCAACCAAGTAATTAGAACAACAAACGGCAGAAGGCAGAACCAAGAAGACTACATGTGATGCTCACAGCTCACTTTTTGTTTATGCAAAGCAGTTTAAAATTATAAGAAACTAAAAGTTGAAGGGTCAAAGCACCATTGCCAAGACTCTTACCTTCTAAACCTAATATTAGAACATACAAATGATGAGAATTCTAGCAGAATGGAAACCGACATCTTGTAATCAAGGAACCAAAATTTGTACTAATTTGAACAGAAAAAATCACCTGCATCGCTCAAGGTCATCAGTTGAGGCTCCAAATGCAGGAATGATTTCTAGGAGCGCATTGAGAAAATCATCCATTGTAACTTTAATGTTCTCTTCATCCACTGGCTTGGTAAGATCATCCATACTTACTTGTCTATTCAAAGCAAAAGACACTGCACTTTTCACAACACCTTCAAGCTCTGCTCCACTGTAATTCTTTGTACGAGCAGCTGAATACAAAAAGAAGTAACTAAAAACTAGTAAGGCCTTCTCAAATGCTGGATACAGCTCAAATCATGGTCAACACCATGTGCATATGCTTTAGAAAAAGAAATTGCATTGCCAGGTATATTAAGAAGATAATAATAAAGATTTTACTCCCAAGTTTGATCATCCAGAGGACCCTATAGAATACTACACAATCTATTGAGAACAAAACTAAGTAAAAGTAAAAGACAACTTTAAATATCAATCATCAAGATTGGTCAGCCTGTAAAATTTTTGGAACAGAAGGAGAGCGGAATAAATGAAGCAAACTTTTAGCCTTTTAAAAGTTAATTCTTCCAAAGCAGTGAAGAATATAAATCCCATAACCATATATCACTAATAAACATACCAAGCTCTTGAAGGTTAACGTCAGGAGCAAGAAAAGAATTCTCTTTCATCTTGTTTGTGTGGATTTGAAGAATTTGCAAACGACCGTTTTCATCTGGAAGACTTATCTCAACTTGAACCTCCAAACGTCCTGGCCTACAGAAGAAAAGTATTCAAAGATTTAATTAAGATCAAAACATTTCATAGAGTAATCTAACTACATCAATCATCAACAAACTAGAAAGTCCACAAAGCACACAAAATTACAGACATAAAAATTACATAGCTCACAATGCTGACAGCTTGCAGCATCTTTATTCCAGATAATAAGTATAAATCTTATTCATAGGCCATCAAATTCTCCATAATTACCAACATTACGCTGTAACTCTATTAGGCTTTGGAAATTTTAATGTCCACATTTCACAAACATAAAACGCATCAATATTTTGTCTCTAGTCATTGGTTGTTAATCAAGCTTCTTACCATAAAGGATGATATAATGTGAAAAAGAGGTAGACAGATAGATAGATTTACTTTGTGTGTGTGTGTGTGTGTATGCACGTCAGAGAGAGCGAGAGAGAGAGAGAGAGAGAGAGAGAGATGCGAGAATGGAGGAGGGAGGGAGCAACCTCAGAAGGGCTTCATCAAGCAAATCCTTTCTGTTGGTCATTCCAATAAGCAAAACATTATTTAGAGACTCCACGCCATCTATCTGAAAAGTATTATCCCTTGGTTAAAATAATCATATATCATTAAGATATGCTAACCACAAGAACAAGAAAAATGTTATGAGACAAAACAGTGGCAATTTTTAAGACTCAGAAACTGTCAAGAACTAGTTACTGACCTTGGTAAGCAGCTGGTTCACAATGCTGTCATGAACTCCAGTACCATCTCTAGTTGAGCCTCTTGACTGGAAAAAACAAAATAAAACCACATATTCTATCGTTAAGAAAATTCAATATTGCAAATAAACAGCCTCAGATCAATTGACTACATACTCATTAGCATTCAATCTTTTATAGATTCTGCACACAGCCCAAGGGTAGATATATGTAACTAAGCCACATCACATATTCCTTCACATATTAAGAAATAGCTGGTGTCTAACTTGAAATAACTTTTTTATGAAAATCCCCCTTATTTTAGAGGTATCTCAAACACAACATACATAAAAAGAAGCAAACATACTTGATCAACATCAGAGAGTGATTCTAGGACTTAAATAATATCCAACTCTTTGCAACAATTTTATCATCCATTGTTTCACTATTTTAAATAACATTGCACGCTGAAAGTTACAATGCAAAGGAAATTAGAAACATCATATAAAACAGGGTGAAAGTACTACTACTGTTCTAAGGGATGAGTACATGTACATAAAGCAGTCTTGTACCTTACAAATAGCATCAATTTCATCAAAAATTATAACATGCAAATCACTGTCGTCACCTGAAAAGTCAAAGGACATTATGTGTCACTATAAAATTAAAAGTGTAACCCAAAAACTAAAACTAGTGAGCAAATATCTCTTACCACGAGTCCTTTGATCATTCTCAGCATCTGCGAACAGGTCCCTAACATTCTTCTCAGTTTCACCAACAAATTTGCTCAGGACTTCAGGGCCATTAACAATCTAAACAGATTTACCCAAAAGTAAAATATTGCATTATGTCAATTACAGTAATAAGTAATATACACCATATAGGCAAACATAATAGTGAATGAAGTCAAATGCAGAATCTCTGAAACATTTATGCAAGTAAGCAGTCTCAAAACAGGACAAGACACTAACAGCAGACTTTGTTCAAAGGAAGTTATACACTCTGATGCAAAGACAGCAACAGAAGCATGAAGAAGACAGTAACTAATATAATAGAAAAAAAATACAAGTAGAAAACACAAAATTGACTTGCCTACTGAATGTATTAATCAATATTGTGTAACGAACAGATTCCAACAGCACATCCACAATGCTGTTGACACTAGGACAACCATGGGATATATACTACAAAGCAAAAGAATTAACATCTCGAATTATCTACAGGCAAACTATTACGTGCAATTCAAGGCCGTATACATTGAGATGAAACATAGACAAAAACATAAATTTTCTTCCATCTGAAACATGAATAATCAGAATTAAATGATCAAGGAATTCTAGGCTTAAACAGATATAAATCACGTTAACTAAAATGGTGACCAAACTCCAAACCTTTGGTTCCTTTCCATTCAACATCTTTCCAATTTGACGAGCCATGAGAGTTTTGCCAGTACCAGGAGGTCCATAAAGTAGCATGCCCTTTACATGCTTAATCCCCAACCTGAAAGCTCAAAAGCTTTCCTATCAGAATAAATAAAAAGGTATCTGACACATAAATAGTATCATTTGAAGAATAAGTTATGTTACTTGTTAGTCACATGAGGAGGAAAAACACGAGAGGCAAAAGCTCGTCGAAATATATCAGCAAACTCTGCACTTAAGCCACCAATACCCAGTGATTGTAGATTAAACTCTTTGTGCCTAAAGATATTACTACTGGCAGCTTCACGTTGATTGACGATCTGCATTGCAAAACATAAGTCAGTGAGCCATTAAAGCTAGCTGAATCAAGTTGATTAATTATAGTCTTGATAAGTAAATGTAATACAAATCTAATCTCTCCGAAAGACAATGATGCCCATTGGTCAAAAATTGGTTAAAAAAAAAGATTAAAAACAAAAAGCAACTAATAGCATATTAATATATAACCTTTATTCCGCTTGAATTTTGTGCTTCAAAGATAAAGTAGGTATCACTGGAAATCATCCCCCTTTCAGGACCATTAGAAGTTTCTTGCCCCTCTAGCTGAGCTTGATTGATTGTGAAAATATAGTTATTACCATGATACTCAAATGTAACCTTTTGCCCAATTGTCATAACCTGCAAAAAAATGACACCAGTATTCCACAACTTCAACAAAAATCAACCAACCTTTCATCAGTGAATAGGAACAAATTTCCTGTACATGTGTGCATGTGAAGAGAGAGAGGAAGCAACAAACAAGCATTTACACATGAGATATGAGGAAAATATGAGGGCTAATGTCATCAAGTAATTATTTTCTAAGTGTGAATTGATATAAGAGAAACACAACATTGATGCGTGCATTTGAAACAAAACTTCTATGACAATCCCTTTGTTCTCAAACAGAGAATTGCAGGAAAGAAATCTAAATTTCACAATCAACCAATCCAAGCCAAAAACATAGCCAGCATGCAACCATAAAATTAAAGCAAACAGCAACTAAACCTACCTGATTCACAAACCTCTTTCTAAGCTGGTTAGCCAGAAGAACCGCATCAACCTACAAAAACAATACACAGAATTCAATCTGACTTCCATCCATATAAGCAATGTAATATCATCCAAGATAACACACAGATCATAATGCATTGAAATTCACCTGTTCATGTTTAGTACCCTTCTTCACAAATTCCAACTCGACCCTAAGCAATGCCAGGTTAAAACTTTCAGGAGGAATAAACCTGCATATTGAAGGAAAAAAAAAAAAGAAGTTAGTAACTAATAACAGTTTGGACATCAAAAATTTGAAAGGAACGGTTTATTAACCTGCTCACTGATACAGTATCACCATTAGAAACTTTTGCAATCCGACGATGGATAACGTTTAGGGCAATATATCCATTGCGTATGCTTTCATGAGGAGTATTTATAAGTTAAGGCCACCAAAACAACCAACTTCAAAGGACAGATTTCGAATTTTGAATAATAAGATTTCCCAAATATGAAATATTCAATTTGTTTTAGTCAAAAAAATTAAACAAATTCAATTAAAAAAAAAACCTCATTCAAATCAATTGAAACAATTGACAAATTTACATCTCCTAAATTATCAGTCGCAAGAAACATAGACAAATTTAATGAATTTACATTTCATAATTTCCTATGCGACAATAAAATGTCTTGTAAACTGTGATTGAAACTGCGAATAAAACGAACAAAAATAAAAAAGGATATGAGACGGAAAGAACAAAGGCATCGCTGACGTCAACGAGGAAGAGTTTGGAGCCAGGGACGGCGAAGTTGTGAAGATCGGAGGCCGAGCAGTAAGCAAGATTAGTCAAGGCGAGATCTGTGGATGGTGTGCTGGTGACAATCATGGCGGTGACCCTAGACGATTGCGATCCGAACCTGCCCGCCATATTTGCCCGCTTTTTGTATGAGATCGGTTAATGGAAGGGAGATGAAGAAGACAGAAAAAAAAATAGTTTACTTCGAATCGAAGGAATTGAAAAGATGCCCAAAAGAAAAGATGTTGTAACACTAAAATTGGGTCTCGCGCGGGAGAGATACTGGACAAGTGGGTCGAAACAATTTGTTGGGATGACCCACCCGAGCCCGATAAATTTGCAAAAGGAAAATCAAATACTTTTACGACATCGTTTTAGGGCTAATTCTAATTTCCTTTCTTTTTTTTAACATAAAAGGCATAATATGCTTTGCTAACGGATAATTTTTTTCTATACTTATGAATTTTAATAGATCAAATATATTTATTTAGCCTTTCCAAAAATATATATTTATTTAGGTACTTACACTTTTGAATAAATTTTTTATTTATAAAGTGTGTAAAGTCAATATTTTTTATTCTTGAATTCATATATTCTCAAAATTAATATGTGTATAATTAATTAATCGAAAAGCTTAAATTTTTTACCCTTGCATTTTGTATCTCAATCATCATTTATTAAATTGGGCTAAAAAAGTCATCATTTGCTATTAATTTAAGATATATTTGAATGAGATTGCGAGATTAATTTTGATAAAATTAAAAATAGTAATAAAATTATTATAATTGTGATTAAAAAATTATTGTAATTATGATTAAAAAAATTAATGAAAAAAGTATACTTAATGGACTTAATTAAAATTAGTATTTAAATTTAAATTGATAATGGTTGAAACTTAACTACATTGTACTAGAGGTATAGTTCCATCCAAACATAGCCTTATCACGTATCATTAATCTATAATGTATTGTATTTGGGTTATTACTAATTATTAAGTGTAATAGTTTCCCACTACTATAAATTTATGAATATATCTTTTCATAGGACATATTTATGATTTTTTTTTTGTAAGATTAAAAAACTCTAATTTAATGTATAAATAATAACCTTACACGTGTAATTTTCTTTTAAATTTAAAGTTAACAGAAAAAAGTATAAATTTTGACATTCTTTCTCAATTTTAATATGAATAAAGTTACATGGGTCCAAACACTACCACTTTAAAAGTAAAAATATAATGTTAAAAAAATTAGAATTACATAGCTAAATATGGCATTCAACCTATGTAACAATACGATAAATCATGATTTATTTTGCAATAGATGTGTTGAGTCTTTTATGTAATCTGTTATGTATACAAGACCTACCTAAGTTTGTTTTATAAGAAATAATTTGGATCGAAACAGATTTGATTCGATTTTTTTTAAATAACGTATAATGTTATAAAATTTTAAAATTAAATTTAAATTATAATTGATTTTTTTAAACCAATCATATCCGAATTGAAATTTATTAATTTGATTTGATTTATTGATTATTAAAATTTATTTTATATATTATTTTAATAAGATTTTTAATATATTTAAAAATTTTATATATAAAATAATTAGTTTTATTTTATAAACAATTAAAAAATATATAATCCGCTTTAATTTGATTTTTTTTTTCACATCTTAATTTAAATTTTTATCCAAAATTAATATAAACTAAATAAAAAAATAAATTCAAATCAAATCAAATATTATAATTTCGAATTAATTTTTATTTTTATTTTTTTCTCACTAGTCACCGGCGAGAGCCGCTTCCCCGCTTCCCCGCTTCCCATCCTTATGTTGAAAAGAAATGCTCAGTGGGGACGGATGGGGCTGCGGCAACCAGTCATTTCAACCTTCGACTAGCAAAAGCCCATGCTATCAGGCCGAGTGCTGCTGGGCCTAATACTGTCAACAAAGTTAACCAAACAGAAAGATATTGGGCTTCCGTTTAATAGCACCGTACCCAGCGTTTTATATACTAATTGGACAAACAAAAAAAAAAGATTAAAGAAAAGTGGCGTATCACATATGGCACCTGGTCCATGCCGCTGTTGCACCATAACAAAAAAATAAATAAATAAATAAATCTGAATCAAACAAAGACTTGGCATTGATCTGTTCATGTCATGCCTTAACCATGTAGGTTACCTATCTAAGATCCTTAAATGAAAATCATTTAGGTTTTAGGAGTTCACACATGGTTAACTTGATTGCTAGTTTTTGAAATAATGTTTTTGGGGTGTAAAGTGTTAATGATGCTTCACTGGAACTTGAATTTCAGAACATGCTAGGCTATTTTGGAACTGTTTGAAACATATGGATGGGACAATGACAGAGCCTCCTGTCTCCACCATCCATAGTTGCCTCCATTGATTTTGAAGGAGTGGAGCAAATTAATGGAACAGGCCAATACGAGTGCATGTATATCTCTTTTTGTGGTTGACTCCAGTTTTTTATTAGGAACACGAAACTCTTCACTTTCGGCAATTCTAAAATTATAGTCCGTTCCCTTTTTTTGCTTGTGCAAATTTATCCCTTTTTGGGTTGAACACTTGTGTTCTCCACCTGATTGATTGGTTAAGACTCCATGATCCTCAAAATCCTCTTGGTTGAGGCTTGCCGTGCATTCCAGGGGTACGTCTAGGCTTGGAATCTACTACCCAAGTTTATGTTATGCATGAACTATTATATTTGCTCTCTCTCTCTTGCAATTCCTTCATGAAAGCAAAGAACAATCAATGGTTGAAAATCCCAAGTAAACCAACAGAATTGAAGAGATAGAGATGATAATGCCTATGAACAGCTGGAACTTTTTAACAGGCCTAATTGCAATGGCCCCAACACTTCTACATTTATGGATTACATTTTCTCCCTGTTATGCTTCAATTGAAAGTCTAATCTACTTTCTATGCATTCTTTATTAGTGGATGCAGGTGGCACGTGGCCATGGGGATTTGTTTATTTATTTATTTTTTGAGTAAATATCCCCTTCCGTGAAACAAAGTGCCTCTAAGTGGAAACACTTTCTTTGCCAATTGCCACCTAATATTCTACAAAAATAATATATAAAAAGGACTTGGCATTGTCTAAAAGCACTTTGGTGTGCTCCCACTTTCGTTTTAAATATGATTATGTTAATGGAAATTATTGTCACAATAGTTACTCCACTTCATCACATTCATTAGCAGTCCCTGACCCATGTTAATCTTCATCACATTCACGAGCAGTCCCTGACCCATGTCAATCTTCATTTCCATTTCATTCATTCATAGTTATAACTATTATGAGCAGTCCCTGACCCATGTCAATCTTCATTTCCATTCCATTCATTAGTAGTTATAACTATTACCAGTTTTTTTTGGCTAATTTTTTCATTTTACTTGGTTCATATAAACCAAACCATGGAAGCATATTGCAACATCTTACTGATATTTTCCTCTTTTCTGACAGCATAGATTTTTTTTTCCCTTATTGAAGATACGTGTATATATTTTGCACTGTTGCTCCAATGAAATTGTCTTTTCCAACTATAATGGCACCAATGTTGCACAGCTATAATCTGTTTTTAATTTCTAAAGAGAGAATAGCTTGCATGTTACTCTGTTGTGGAACATTTTTGAACCAGGAAGAGAGGTCAACCTTTTTATGGATCCTTTTGATTTTTCTTTACTCCAATGAAATGTAAATGCAACTATTGGTCGGCTTATTAAAAAAACTTGATTGTGGACATATATACGTTCTTTCCCTGGAAAGAGCAGTATTGTTTGAATAATAATGTGAGTTGAGAAATCCACCATGTTTCTGAGTTTTGCTGTCAGTTCCGCAGCACTATAATCAAATCAGTGGTCTATGGTGCAATATAAATGTGGTTGATTTGCTAATTTTTCTTTAATATTGGCCAACCTTGGCCAATCAGCTTTTTCTTGGCATTACTCAAAAGTGGATTTCTTCTCTTTCTTCTGTCATTCATCCCCCCTAAAAAAGAAGGATTTCCTTCTTTTCAATATGCAATTTATAAAAACTAATACATAGTCATAAATGCACAAACATGGTAGTAAAAGTAGAGAAGAGGATTTGATATCTTTTCACCTTTGCTTCTGACCCTTTTATAAGTGCAATATGTAATGGCATGCTTGGAGGGACAATATTCTCTGCAAGGCTTTGGTAATTGGAGGGACCTCTAAGTGCTGATGCAACTTAAGAGTTAAGATCTAGCTAGCTTATATGCTACAATAACCTGTCAAGGTCTTAGATTCAATTTTCTGGAAAATTTGATCCCAATGTTCTATATTTATGGTTTAACAAATGCTTGATTCCATCAGTTGGTGTCTAAGCATTTCAGACAAGGATCCCCATCCGACATCCTTGATCCTTACATATCTTGAGAAATCTTCACGGTAAACATGCCTTGTATTGCATGAAACCTCTCTTCAGCTATGAAAAGATGACAGAGACATCAAATTTGATAAAACCTGAATATAAAGAATAAAAAATGTACTTGCATACTCTTTTATGCCAGCAAACATCAAAGTTTCTATGAAAATAACCTTTTGACGGTGAATAACCACTTCAAGCTTTGCCATCTTTTAAATTTGCCTCGTTCAAAGTGGAGGAAGGAACGAGTATATAGTCGGCTGCAGGAATTCAAGCCATCCGCTAGAAGTAGTAGTAAAGTTGACTAAAGAATGTTGAAGCAATCAATGTGACCCCACGAAAAGAAAGATTTTGGAGGCATGATGAACATAATTTCAAAAAGCACTTTTACTTGAATATTATTGATAAAAGGGTATTCATGTTCTGTTAGCGTAGAACTTGCCAATCCTAGTTGTGAGCCAACAGAGAGTGATTCTTCCAAGTTGACAATATTGGGGTGATAAAGACATCATTCCAAGTCCAAAATCATCAGCTAAGCTGCTTCAAGAACTAAATTTGAAGATCAAATAGTCTTTTATATAATAAAAACCAATTAACCACTTACTTGAAATCTGAAGATTCCGCATGTGCTGCTGGCCAGTGTCCACAATTGGCTTTGCTGGATCAGAGGTAGCTATAAGTTCTGATATTGTTTAAGAAAACATATGCTCCTTCAACTTTGAATTTCAAAAGCTTGTATGCCAAATTGCATTACAAGCTCTGATTAAATCCACCAACATTGCTCTTGTCAGTAGCTTCTAAGAGCTTTTAGTGTATATCAGTTGAATTTTTAGCTTCTTTTATGAGCTTCAGATCATGGTTGGGCTTGATCATGGCGAAAATAATGCACAATTCAGTAATGTAGCTTGCTAATTAACCTGACACTTGAAGAAGTTTTTCAAAGATTTTGTTTCTTTTGCTGACACTCGTACCAATCCAAATCCCTGTACATTATGGTCCCTTATGATTATTAGAGGGCTAGAAGGAATTCTTAATTGCATTTCAGGCCAGCCTACAAAGTGCAACAGCAAGAACTGACAATTTGTTGTCCACCAAAAAAAAGAAAAAGAATTCATATAAGATATAGTAATGGAAAACTATGATAATTTGAAGTGGGAAAGATGGTTAGGAACTAGTCATTTTCAGCATAATACTTTTAGTATTGTTCTTGCCTTTCCGACTAGACAATATAGTTAGTGCTTTAAATTATCAATTCTCTTTAAAAAGTTTGTACCTACAAAAAGAACAAAGCTATTATTTGCCCTTTCATTCTGGTTTAGAGTTGGCTATGCATGCAAACCCATTGACTTGGCTTCTGCCATTGGCTATTGGTCAGTTTGGATGAATCATATATATACCAGCTAAAAAGAAAAGATTAAATTACATAGATTTATATCTGAAGAACATTTCTAGAAACGGGCCTTGTTTTCAGCTAGATTTTGTCATATAATCTTTTTATTTAAATCTGCAGCCAAAGAATACAGTGAAAAGGTGTGGGAGTTGTTGATTTGGGATGTACTTTGACGCTCAAGTCAATAATATATCTATAATAAAGGTAATGAAAAAAAAAAGGAGGAAGAAGGTGAAGTGTATGTGAAAAGCTTTGAAAGGAGGAAAGCTTAGGTATGAAGTATGAGAATTTCTCTCCTACCTGAACTTCTTGGTATCTTATGTATGAGATAATAGAGGATGATATGATTGGATAATTGATAATTAATGGGATATATACATGAAAATTGAAAAGGATCTATGTAGGTGACTACTAGTTATATTTTGTATGAATTATATTTAATGATTTCAAATAAATTAAAAATCAAGTGATTAATTATAAAATAATTTTCCTAAGACGTTAGTGAAATGTTAAACGAATCTTTCCTTTGATAAAAATCGAACCATTTCCTTAAAAACAAATGATGTAGGGATTTCACGTGGTTTATCTAGACGATCCAATGATAAAATTGTGTTAATCAAGCTTTGATCAAGTTGACGGCTGAGTAACTGGACGCAACACATACATATGCATAAAAGAAAAGAAGAATCTCAATGTCAATGAGCTTTTTTTACTAGAATAACATCCTAGTAAACTGTAACCTTCTTTTACTACTTGAACATGAAATCTGGTTTTGCCAAAAATAAAAAAGAGAAATCTGGTCGCAACAAACACTTACTAAGAAATTCTGACATGATCTTTCATTACCAAAAGCAGACATTAAAGCATAATTATAATTCAGAAGTGTGTATTTTTGCAATAACGGTTCTGATTTTTTTTTTTTTTGTACTACAGAATCTTGTTTAGTGACATTATATACCAAGCATATTCTTATTGTATTGTAATAAAAACATTATTAAACAGGTGTCTGCTTTCCTGATCAAAGCTAACACGTGCATACCAATAATCAAAACCCTAAATCCCATTATTGGTGGAGAGAAATCAATGATTTATACTAAGTTAACAAAGGATAAAATACTCAAAAGCCCCTAAATTTTTTCACTTTTTTTATATAAATCCTCATATTTTTATTATTCTCAAATAAATCCTTATAGAATTGATTTGAGTTCAAATTAAAGATTAAATAAAGTGATAAAGTTTATGGGGCTGTTTGTCAATTTAGCCTAAATTAAGGTGGGTTTGATTGTGATAAGAGAAAAATAAAAGGGCAGGAATGTTCATTTGGGTAATAACTAAGTTTGGATTGTGGAAGTACAGTGTACTTTAGATAAATATTCTTTCTGTATGCAGTCCATAAACATATAAAAATCCAATATTTCTTCTTGATGTGAAACAAAGCACTATCATCACTCTAGCAAACTCCCTCATTTAACGTTCATAACTCTTTCCAACAAACACCCAAAACGTACGTGCGAGAGAGACAGAGAGAGGAAGGAGTTGTTCTTCTTTGCTACTGTGCAATGTTTTCAAGCTTCGTTAATGGCGTTTTAGTTGTCTGGATTCAGAGAGGAACCCAACCTCTCTAAATTTCCTCATCTTGTCTTTTCTATCTTCTTCTCTTCCCAGTCTTTTCTGTTTGTAAAGACAAAGAAGCAGCGAGAAAAGGAAGTCGGGAGTGAAACGGAAGGGAAAAAGAGAAGAGTTTTTGTGAATGGAATCATAAGGCGTTCTCTCAGTTGAGTTGGTTTGATCAGTTAACGTACAGTTTCTGATTGGTCGTTTTTCTTCCATCAGAACTTATGGCTCTACTCGTATTTAGAAGCGGCAAATGGTAACCTTTTTTCTTTGTTTTCTTTCCTCTGTAATGTTAACTCTTTCACTCTTTTGTTTCTTTGATTTTTATCTTTTTCTAGAAACATGAAAAATCTCATATAATTTTCTTTTTCTCATGGTTTACAAGGCTTTATGATTTGAACTTTTTCATTTTTTGTTAGTATTTGTTAAATTTTGATATAATTAGAATTTTATTTATGGAATTCAAGGTTGTACTTGTTCATGTTTATATGGCCTGTATGCAAAAATAAAAGAAAGTTCATGTTTTGATGCAAAGAAAACTTGTTGAAGGTGCAAACTTCGAAAAGAAACGGAGTCTTTATTGAAAAATCTAATTGAAGGATATAGCATGGTAAATACCATCTGAAATCTATTTCTGTTAATTATTGAGTTAGTCCATCTTACTGATGGAAATATTATATGTAGGCATAGATGCTATTCTTTTTATGGATGATAAAATTTGCTTGTCTCTAATGTTCTTAAATCTATGTTGTTATTAATCTATATGTGTATCTTATTTTAAGATAAGCAACTTTGTTTTTTCTTGGAAACAAAAGATGTGACTATTGGAACTGCATTTTGCTGTTTTTATAATTCCTCTATGTTAAAGGATCTTAAGAGATATTTCTGTTTGTTGTTGTTGTTGTTGTGAAGGTTTCGTGGAAATGTTAAATGGCTTAGAGAAGCACTTGTGAGTTCCGGTGAGGAAAAGCCATCGTTTAGATAAATTTCTTGTAGACATTATTTGATAGGCAGCATTCCATAGACAGCATATAACAAGTTTCTGTAGGCTTGGTTGAATGTAGCTGATCTATTTCCAAATTAATTGAACTCTTCACGAGACAGATCTGCTGTGTTGGAGGGAAAAGACAGAAACTTCAGCTTTACTCTGGGACAGATTTCCTTTGGCATCATAGATTTTGTTACTGAAAGAAACACTTCTTTCAGATTTTAGATACATATTTATTTGTGAAGTTGCATCTCTGTTGGGCAAATCTCCTTTGGCAGAAATTACTAAAATTTTCTTTGGTCGGGTGAATTTCCTAGGGAAGGAGTGCTTATTATCATCATTTGCAGCTCTTTTGGGATCTCCTTACTAGGAACTTCACTCTGACCTTCAAATAAAACATCTGGCAAGTTTACCCCCTTGTTTCTTCTGTGGGAAATCTCCTTTGGAAGTTTCCTCCAGTGTAAACTTTGGTCCCATTTGGGCAAATCTCCTTTGGCATTTGGAGTCCTTTGTTGACTCCTCCGTCCTTTTAGGGCAAATCTCCTTTGGCATTAGAGTCAAAATATCCTCTTCAGGATATTTAACTCACTATCTGTTTCGAATAGTTGAATCAACTGGAAGATACATATTTCACAATTCGTAACAGAAAAATATAGTCATATCCTTGGCTGTGTCCTCTTTTGGGATTGACTATTAACTTACCATCCTTATTACTATATATATTGAGACTTAAGAGCTTATTGGCATATCTTGGATGATTCAGTTTGTTCAAGTACACAAGCAGGAGTAAAGTTTCTGGTATGTCTTTCTATCCCTCCTTTTACTATTTTGTTGTAGCATTTGTACCAAAAAAAAAGAAGGAAATAAAAATATAGATTAACAACTAAAAGTTCAGTTGCTATAATTAGGTGAAACATTTGATGATTGGTTTCATATTGCCATATTTGTTTTACACTATAGCCCCCATTCATTAGCACGTGCATACACTATCTTTTATGATAATTACTATCTAGTAAAGATCCTTCTCTTAAAGATAGCAAAGGTTTGAAAGAAAAAGTGGCATCATAAAACATAATTTTTGCTGCTGAGGTCAGAATCTTGCCTGAAAGTGCTTAACTGCATCTTTTTCTTCCTGCTAAAATGTAAGTCCTTCATATGTTATTCGTGTTGAACTAAATTTGACATATATCTTCTCATAGGCACTGAAAAATGGATGTGCTCCTTACTGATTCTGATTGGGAAAGTTTTAGTGAAAGTGGCAGTAGTGAGGAACAGGAAGAAAATGACTTTCTGTACGCTGGCCAGGCTTGTAACATTCTATCAAGTCTGGAGGAAAGTATTGAAAAAATTGATGACTTCCTCTCATTTGAGAGGGGATTCATTCATGGGGACATTGTGCGCTCTGTAACAGACCCATGTGGGCAGATGGGTAGAGTAACCAATATTAATATGTTTGTGGATCTTGAGAATGTTCATGGGAAAATCATAAAAGATATAAATTCAAAACAACTTTTGAAGATCCGCTCCATTTCAGTTGGAGATTATGTGGTTAATGCAACTTGGATTGGAAGGGTGGATAAAGTAGTTGACTGTGTCTCTATTGTCTTTGATGACGGGTCAACGTGTGAGGTCACTGCCGTGGATCACAATAATCTTGTGCCTGTTTCTCCCAACATAATGGATGACTCACAATATCCATATTATCCAGGACAGAGAGTACTGGTTGTGCCTTCAAATGTTTCTAGATCAACTAGATGGTTATGTGGTACCTGGAGGGAAAATCAGAATGAAGGAACCGTTTCTGGTGTGGCTGCAGCTTTTGTCTACGTTGATTGGATTTCCTCTGCTCACGTTGATCATGATTTGAGTGCCTCTCCTCCCTCGCGTTTGCAGGAGGCAAAAGACTTGACTTTGTTGTTGTGTTTTTCCCATGCAAATTGGCAGCTTGGTGATTGGTGTATGCTTTCATTTGCCGACCATAAAGGGATCACTGAAAAGTTTCTTCATGCATCAACTCATGATAAAATTAAAGGTAACTGGAAACTAGAAAAAGGATTTAAAAGAGGAAACCTGGGTAGATTGGCAGAAATCTTTGTTATCATTAAGACAAGGACCAAGGTTGATGTTGTGTGGCAGGACGGTAGCTGTGGCTGGGGGTTAGATTCACAGACTTTACTTCCTGTTGGTGTTGCAAATGCACATGAATTTTGGCCTAATCAGTTTGTCCTGGAAAAGGGAACTGGTGGCAATAGTCAAAGATGGGGTGTGGTGCATGGTATGGATGCAAAAGAACGAACAGTTAAGGTCCAGTGGAGAAATATGGCTGTGAATCAAGTAAATGGTTATGGAGAGCACATGGAGGAAACTGTTAGTGCTTATGAACTTGTTGAGCACCCTGATTACTCCTACTGTTTTGGTGACATTGTGTTTAAGGTGGCTCAGAACCAGTTTGGTGATCAAGCTGATAAAGGTCACATAATCTCAGAAACTGGTTTTGGCACGGAAGCTGCTTTTAAAGGCAATAACTGTAATTGGAACCATAACAAGTATCCCAGTACATGTTATCTATCCTGCATCGGCATTGTCATTGGGTTTAAGGATGGTGATGTGGAGGTGAAATGGGCTTCCGGTAATCAAACAAAGGTTTGAATCTTATGCATCCTTATTCCATGATTCAAATCGTATGCATACATATTTAAATTAAGTTAATACTTTGAGGTTCAGGATATAGCCGCGGTTTGAGTTTAGAATTACATCCGTCAACAGAATCCATGAACTTGTGAAACTGTTTTCAGTTGACTATATTCTGTCTTTAGCTCATCAACTAGTAGTCACAGATCTGCCATCCTTTGAATTTATCTTTAAACTTTGTCACAGGTTGCACCTTTTGAAATTTACGGTATTGATAAATATGAAGATTCAGCCACAAGCTCTGTTCTCTATGAAGAAAATACTGAGGTTTTGAATCAAGAGATGATTGTGAATGAGATGCAGTCTAATAACCAAAAAGGAAAGGTAAATCCAACTCTCTCCCTCTTTACATTTCTGTTTTTTGCTCATAAGTTTTCTGTCAATCTGTATGTTCACATCTGATTGTTTGCTGATGCCCAACTTATGTTGAAATGACACTTTAAATATTGGCAAAAAAAGTTGAGGGGTAGGGCAGATGGAGGGGGGTTCCAATGACCTGTTGAAATCAACCAAAAACTCTCTGATTAAATTGTTAAAAAAATCTTTGCAAAATATTCATGGAAAATGTAGAAAACTCATGAGGCATAAGCTTTAAGTCTGCAATTTTCAATCTTGTGAACCATGCAGGATGTCTTCCAAGATATATAGAACTTTTCCTTTGGCAATTTGTGCAATTCATCTCATGCCCTTGAATAGTTAAAGAAATGTACAGTACCTGTTAGGACTTTTACTAAGTTAAATTACTTCAGTTTTCATGAGATCTTGGTTTGATTGCCGATAACTTGCATGGAACTTGAATCATCGTAGTGGCCTTGTAAATCCAAACTCTTATAAGAGACAGGGAATCATGTCTTAAAACGAAACTATTTTTAAACTTTAAGGAATTTGACAACATGAAAAATCTTGTATTATGTGCCTCGCCGAACTAAATAACGACTGCAATTCTATTCTCAGGATCTGTTGAATTTTGATGGTGCTGATGAAAGTGGCAAGAAATTCTCATGGATGCGTACTTCCTTCTTCCGTCCTCAAGCTGCTATTGGATTTTTCTCAAGCATTGCTTCTAGCATCCTTGGATCCCTTGGTTCCACTTCACTGTTTAGCCAAGAGTCATCTGGTTGTATTTCTCATGATGCAAAAGAATATGGCATTCTCCTTGAGAATGAAGAATTGGAAACTTGTAATCACTATGCTGAGCATGATCTGAGTGAGTTGCAGATATTTGAAACAGCAAACATAAAGCTGGAAGTTGAAGAGATTGAAGAAAACGAAGGTAGTATGATGCCAAGATCTGGTGAGACTTCAGATCAATTTAGGCAGTTTGATATGGTCAGTGATTGCTCAGATCACCACTTTCTTGGTGAAAGCAAGGTGTTGGCTGTGTCTCAGGTGCGAAACATGACTTAATTAACTCTTAAAACATACCATTAGAGTTGTTTAAACAGTGTGGATAATCCTTTGAGTTTTTATCCTTGTCCCCGCTCCTAGGTGAAAAGAAGTTGGCTGAAGAAGGTTCAGCAAGAATGGAGTATTCTTGAGAAAAACCTTCCTGGTTAGCACTTGATCTAACTCTTTATACTGATTTTATGTGTTACATCTTTTGATTCACTGGTACTCTTTCTGTTGGATTCCGCTCATTCAACATTTAATTTTATGAGACTATCTTTGACCTGAGCAGAAACTATCTATGTCCGTGTTTACGAGGAAAGGATGGATCTACTACGAGCAGCCCTTGTTGGTGCCCCTGGAACACCTTACCATGATGGGCTGTTCTTTTTTGACATTTTTCTTCCTCCAGAATATCCATATGAACCGCCTGTAAGTTCTACTTCCAGTGTTGCTACTAATTGTAGAATTGGCAGTTGCTGCATTTGGAATGCTTTACTCTATAATGCCAACCGAATACCGATTACTTTGATTCGCATCTCTTCCTATGCCAATGAAGTATTTATGCCAATTTGAATTTTCATCAACTGTCCCTTCTGAAAAGAGGAAGGGTTTCCAATTCATGGTTTCTGCACAAACTGATATCTGAACAAATACAACTGTTCATGTAAATCATGAAAATGTAAATTGTATAAATAAAGAAAATCTCATGAAGTTTATGTTTGTCAAAATTTTGCAGTTGGTGCACTACCATTCAAGGGGGCTCCGCCTCAACCCCAACTTGTATGAATCGGGGAAGATTTGCTTAAGCCTTCTAAATACGTGGACAGGTTCAGACACCGAGGTCTGGAATCCTGAAATCTCCACAATTCTTCAAGTTCTTGTGTCCCTCCAGGCTCTTGTGCTTAATGAGAAACCTTATTTCAATGAGGCTGGATTTGATAAACAGTTAGGAAGAGCTGATGGGGAGACAAACTCAGTGAGCTACAATGAAAACGCATTCCTAGTAACCTGTCAGTCTATGCTTTATATACTCCGCAAGCCACCTAAGGTAAAATTTCATAATTTAAACGTCTTTCCAGCTCCATCATTTGCATTTGTTGAAGTACTGGAGTTAAAAAAATAAAATAAACTAAAATAGTCTGTTTCCTTCGATTCCATAAGTTTTTGAATGATTTCAATCTCATTAGATATATTAATATCACGATGAATCCACTCAAGGTGACTGACATGAAATGCCGCAGAATCATTGTTTTTTTCAAACAGTACTAAACATACTATACCTTTTCCTTGAAAGAAAATGAAAATGCCACTTATGTCAGAATTAGTTTTTGGTTAAACCTTCAAATTGTTTACACAAATGTTTGTTGCTCTGCTGGTGCAGCATTTTGAGGCACTTGTCAAGGAGCACTTCAGTCGACGCGCCAAAACTATTCTCTCGGCTTGCACTGCATGCATGGAAGGTGCGCCTGTAGGATTTGCTCTTGAATGCGGTGGAAATGAGCATGATGAAAACTTTAAAGCAAGTTCTACCGGCTTCAAAATCATGCTCGCTAAGCTTTTCCCGAAGCTTGTGGAGGCATTTTCAGATCAGGGAATTGAATGCAGCCAATTCCGTCAGCTGGAGAAGTAAATGTGATGCTGAGGTGCAACTAAAAATTTATGAAAATTTCTATCATGTGAATAGCTTTGTATAATATCCCTAGCCAGAATTTAAAAACAAAAATCAAACAAAGATTCCTATAAAAAAAATAATAAATGAAAGCTCTGTATCATATCAGGGTGTGGTTTGGGGAAAGATTACAATGTTTTCCTCGTCTATTACGGTCGGAAGCCATGCTTGACAGGGCTTCTGCTATGACTGTACAAAAGTATTGTCTGCAGACAATAAGATTGTGAAATAAAGTGATGATTGGATTGGTGTACTTGATAAGTCTTCCAAGTTTTCTGTGTCTGACAATGTTCTTTTGGAGTTTCCGAATCCGTGGTTCCTATTATGTATCAAGTTCTAGTTGCTGATGTTGGACAAGACCTTTCCTGTCTTGCTGATAATTGAAAGGATGAGAAACACAAGCAATTTTATGTTGTCGTAGACAGCAGAGAACCTAGAACAGGCAAAGCTGGTCCGAATCCGAAAATCTGTCTGAGCCGATCCGCGACCTAGCCCGGGCCCTGAATGGCTGTGCCTCCCGTTAAATTATCAGCAAAATCTCAAATCCCCAAAACAATCTCTCTAATGCGTACTCAAACCCACATGAATACTCGACGTCGTGCCGGAATCCCCAGTGGAACCCACCACTAATTTTTCCAGCCCCACCGTCAACCACCTGGAATTTGGAGACTGATGTGCCCAAAGCCACTGCGTTTTACGTTCACTATTCTCACAGCCCACTCTATAATAATTAGAACCCAAATTTATAAAATTCAAGGAAAGATCGGCTTACAAATTCCCATATCATTTTCCGTTTTTTATTCAGTTCACTTAAACCCCGCCGTGGATTGCGGCGGAAGTTTCGGGTCAGGCGACCGAGAATTCCAATGATTGGAAGAGGAATGCCGGGTTTTTCTCTAAGTGGGTATTGGTTGGAATCGACTGTGAGGCTTTGTATGGTTTGATCAGGGATAAGTAACGGGAACGCGGGTAAATTTATGACTTTAAATATTGTTTAAGCTTAATTATTCGACTAATTTTATGTTTTTGGAAGTTTAATCTCTGGGGTTCTGGAAAGTTTAGATTTTGAACATAATTTGAGTTATTTTGAGCCGGTTTCCTTATGGAAGGGAAGTTCTTGCTTTAAGTGAGGTTGAGGGTGAGGGACAGAGTTTGGCTGTTAGCCAAGCGAATGGAGGAGTTTGTTCAGTGATTTTTCAACGTACGATTAAGTTTGAGTTGGATTATGAGAAGCATTGTTGCAAAGTTAGTTGCAGGTCAATTCTTAAGGATGTTAAACATGTTCCCAGTTTCATGTTCTTTAGACAGATTAAGTGCGTGGATAAAGGGAAAAATGCAGATTTTATTGGGGTTCCGGAACTCGAGTACATCCCGTACTGTTGATTGGTGAGGGAGCAAGGGATGAGAAGAAGAATAGGGTATGTTGTGATGCTTGTGGACTTTCGAACTTCAGGGATTCTTTGACTAGAGCATCTGCTGGCGATTGTTCTATTAAGTTCAGCTTGAGATACCCCAAGATTTTGTCACTGAGAAATAGGGATTCACTTGGGAAATTTTGGAGTGATAAAAGCAAGGGTGACGCGACTTACTTTGGTATGATTTGGTTCAGGAGTGTTCGGGAATTATCACCTGAGTTTAAGAGTGTTCCAGCCTCCCAGGTTTAAAATATCAGTATGCAGAGGTTGGCTGTGCTGGTAGATTTTGTGTGAATGCAAATATTGCTAAACACAAGGGAAGGACATATCCTGATGTTGGTTCAATAGACATGAGATTTGAAATGTTGTTGATATATGGTAAAGGAGAACCGGCATGGGGCATTGCGAACCCGCTGTCTATGGGTGATCAGCCCTATAGCCATAGCTATAATAAGCATCAGCCTTATGGTCCTTTGCCAGTACCGAGTCAGCAATTCGTTTGAGCAATAGCAGCAGGCTATTAAATATAAGCTATTAGATTAGCTACACATATCATTCAAGTAATGTTCCTGCTCTGTCCAGAGAAGTTGAAATTTCTGCTGAGGGAATACATGATAGACTTTCTGGTGTTCTGTGCATGGTAGGATGTAAAAGTCTATAAAAGTTTGCTATTCATGAATGCACCAACAATCTCTGCAACAAGGATTATCTGAACTGTTATGCAGGCACGCATCTTCGAGCCTTGAGCTTGCATGTTAAATGAGAAAAAGGTCAAAATCTTTATGAACTCATTCAAACTCTTTATATGAAATAAAACTGTACAAAATTTAAAACTTCATTTGATTTTTCCTTTTTTTTTTCCCAGAATAAGGTAAATAGGAAAGGGAAGATTAGGCATCTACTAGTAGTCCTTAACTGCAAGGATAATAAGCACTTATCTTTCACTTGATACCAAAGCACGAGTGAGACCATTGCATGGTTTCTGCATTTTCAGCACTTTTGATTCAATCGTGGTTACTCCAAAGTCATCCCCCGCCAGGTTTCTAATATTCGTTGTTACTTCAAAGTCATCCCCTGCCAATCACTAAGCAAGACCAGGACAGGATTTCAAGCAAGCAGACAATATGTGAAGCACGCAGCTGCCTGCATCAGGAACCCGTCTACTAAGTTGCTTGTAAAAGTGGGCATAGAAATATAGATAAACATGAGAACAAGTTTGGAATTTGTGAGTTTCATTCATTACATTAGAAAGTTGAACTTGACTTGAACTTCAACACCATCAAAAGAAGACATGCGTCGCCAATTGTTTTCAGATCAGATTATATAAGGTTTGCAAAAACCGAAACATAGAATTAGAAAAGTTTTCAGTTGGCATGGCAATAAAATGCACAAGTTGCTGGCGCAAAAAAACTTCAGCAAATCTGACTTGAGTTGAAACATCAATTAATAAGACAAAATATGTCATCCAAGGCCGAGGCCAACTATACATACACAGCCAGAACAAAGATTGTTGAACAAAATATGCACGTTTAAACTGAACTTGGGACAAAAAGTTACCTTAACATCATGCTGTAGACTTTTTGCCAGAAATGATACGAGAAATCTGCAGACCTCTGCTAAATGCCTCATTGAATAAGATTCTTGTCTGCATGGACTGGAATCCAGGCAACCATGATAGCAATGCCACAGGTGCTATGACAATTACTCCAAACAATATATCATACAGCCGTGCCAAAGAAACTACAGTCTCCCACACCACAGTGGATTGCAGAAAAGGTCTAAGCACTTGGGCAATGGATATCAGACCCCATCCCGTAGGAATGAATGCCATAAGACTTGTCACAAGATCAATAAATTTAAATGCAGTGAATTCCAGCAATAAGACAATCACAAGTACTGTAAGTGTAGTGACTACAAGCTGAACTACCCGATAGTAGATGTGCTCTTTTGCTGCATATTTGTCTCGAGCATATGCTATAACCACATAAATTCCAACAGCCACAATCACGTATATCCAAGATAGCAGATAAACAACTATACTGGTGCTTCCGCCAGCAATGCCCAACTGGTACACAATACCATACTGGAAGAAGAAGAAACGAAGGTCTAAAATTATCTCTAGTAGTTTTCCCCAGAGACCTGTTGTTCTCAAATGGTCTTGTTCCTCATACCACCATATTTCCCAGCTCTTATCAGCTTCTGAAAACATACCTCTAGACCATATCCAATTCATAAAATCATCAAAATCATACACTGTCTTCAGCCAATCAAAGCCAGACGGGTTGAACACAAAAGGGGACATTATCCATGATACCACGAGGAACCAACTTGAAATGGTCATAGCTATGTAAACAAATGAATCCTTAGCAAGTGGGCTATGAGAAGCATACACTGCTAGAATAACACCAAGTTCAATTGCCTTCACAAAATGGCTTCGAGCATAAAGTCGATAATTTTCTGCAAAGCGCTTGTGCTCAACCACAAAACCACGTCCAGTGGCTCGGTATTTGGCACCCCCATGAAGTATGGTCCGGCCAAAGAAATGGGTTCGTGTTCCCATAGAGAAAGTGTAAAAAAATGATGCTAGCTGCATCTGCATTTTTACGAAGTCCCAAACTGCTGGAAGAAACCCATGTTCAAGAGAGTTCTCAATAATCATTGGAAGGGCAGTGAACAGACCAAGCTGTATTATAAACTGCTGATTCAAGATCGTTCCAAGTGCCTCATTGCTGACACTGTTATTCTTGGCTTCGCTCTCAACACCACTGAGCGCAAGATAGAGGCGGCCCCACAAAAATGTATAAACAGTCAGTACCACCATCATCGTATTAAAGTAGTGTCCGACAGTTGTGTAGAAAAAAGAAAACATCCGAAAGAAATCCAACCTATGACCCAATCGGTAGACATCTCTGCTTAATACCTGCTCGCCATTGCCACTGGCAACCTTGGCCTCAAACATAGAGATCTGATTCAATCCCACATCCCTTCCTTTACCCACCTGTATATATTCATGGTGTGTTACGTTGCCACCTCGCAGGGTGCAATTGAAGCCTGCAAATATGTCCTCACTGATATTAATCACTCTAGAAGCCTTGCTAATTCCACCCCTAGTCAAGAACCAGAATCGATCAAACACATCTGGATGACCATAGTGCATTCTCACCTTCAAAGGGTTTGCTAGAACACGCTGCCCGAGAGTCACAAAACTTGTTTCCTGAGCAGACATGAACCATGCAAGTGAGGAAACTGAACCCGTGAAGACATTCTCACGCACTCCTAGAATGGTTGGCTTCCTAATACCATAATTGGTCTTGAACTCCTCCAACAAATTCCGCATCTTGAGTGCCTCCTCAAAATAGTTGTCTTGGTTCATGTCAATGGTCTGAATTGCATCACCTCGAGTAAATATTATGGCATGATTCTGGTTCTCTGGTTTTCCTTCCCCAAGTTTCAAGGTCCCTGGCAACCTAATGCGATAGATCTCTACCTCCCTCTGCAGCTGTTGGTCATACTTCACAAGAACAGAGTAATACTCAACCTCGTCTCTTCCTAACTGAACCTCATCTACATAGGCAACTCGAAGAGCTTCATTATTTTTCATCAGATATAGAATTTCCTCAGCTCGGCTGTCTCCCTTCGCCTTTTGCCGCCCATACAACTGGCAGGTGACTACATAAGTGAATTTCATCAAAGCACATCCATACTCATGTCCCTTGAACAACAGAGTTACACCGCTAACTGCCCGGCTAAGTTTCTTTGCAGTCGGTGGCTTAGTACCATCAACCAAACCATGGTTTTGGTTTAATGAATGTTGAGAAGAAATTTGTTGTATGCCTGTTCGAATGTCCATCTCAGATGCAGAATCAAGAAAATAAAGCATCTTAAGAGCCCTATAGTAGTACATCATTCCCCTAACTGTGCGGGATAATGTCTGCCCTCTGTATGATGCCCAAAGACGGAGATCCCTAGGCTTTGTTAGCCAAATATCATCACCATCATTCATCCCCTCTCTGTACATCCTTTCCATAAAATTTCTCCACTCGTCCTCATAGATC